CAAGTAATTGAAATCAGACGACGGCCCACTTGTTCATATGTACGTGTACCCGCTGCTACTGCACTTCGCCAAGCAATTTCTATCATGATGTTCAGCATTAATGTTCTGAAGCAAATATTTTTTGGAAATAAGAGTTCGGAAATCTTTTAAAATATCCATATGCAAATAAAGTCATCCAAAATTAAAGGTAGGGTAAAATTTAGTGGAACAAAAAATGTGCATGTCAAGCACCTGTGCGATGAGGATAAAAACTGTAATAATTATTATATAAAATTTGATTAAAGCGAAGCATGAAACACAAAACCTTTTGCAAACCAACAATTAATCCAATTCATTCATTCATTAAGTTATTTGTTACAATTTGGGCAGAGTTAAAGCGCTGACACTCATCGAGTCAACACCTGAGAGCATTTCTTTTATGCACCAATAAAACCTAAAGTTTTTCCTCTTTGACCTTCCTTATTAATCTAGAATCTCATCACTCCATTGCCAACAATATTATTTTTCTTTGCATGACAAAAACAATTTAAATCAAATTGAATTAGTTAATCCAATTTATCACGATTTGTCGAATCATGAATAAAAATATTAACTGCGTTGCTTAATTGTTTTCTAAAGACTAAAAATTATGACTATTTATATAAAAACTAAAAGTCGTGGCAAATAAGCCTACGTAATTTTTTAATTGGAACGAATATAAATAAAAATGTAGACGATAGACAAGAAGTCCATTACGTAGAATAAATAACAGCGATATAGTCAAGCATGAACCCTATTTTTATTTATTTTATGGATGCTTGCATTATTTTACGATGGCCATTTCTGGCCATTTTTGACAGTTTCTCTTAAATTCTAGGCAAATGTCAGTCATGTCAAGATGTCTCGTTTGTCCATGCATAGTGGTTTAAGTGTCAACCAAAGATTTTAATTGGAAAAAAGCTCGAGGCAATATTTCTCCAAAGTTGCAAAAATTCATAAACACCAAAAACGTAGCCAAAAAATTAATCCATAAACTTGTTGTTCGTAACGAGAGAAGAAATGTATGCCCAGGATGATTTATTCTTAAATTAATTTTTATGTCCCAGATAAGCCATTATGTGTCAGCTCACATTAGCATACTCGATATACTACATAGGTGGCATAATTTACCCTGTTGGCTTTCCTTCAAGTGTTTTATTAGTAAGAGGAACATGAATGTGTTAATAATTTAAAACAGAATTTTTCTACAAATATCAAATATAGCATAAAAACGAAAAACATTATATCGACTCAAGTAATCATGAAAAACGTGCAGACATCGGAAGCAAGACACTTACATACGTACATATGTACATGTATGCACCAAGCTAGGCCATAACGAACTGATTGTGATATTTTACATAAAGCTGTAACTCAGGTATTGAATTACAAATGAAAAACGCCATCATATTTCAAATTTATGTTGATTGCGTGCTCATGCAAGATTTATTCGCGTGAATAACATTAGTAGCAAGAATAGAAAAGAAAATGGATGGACTTGAAGTCTTGAGTGCACCTTTCTTTATTGCAAATGGACACAGTTTGATCCATTATTTCATGATTTCTTTACCGTTGACCGTTGAACAGGGAACAAAGAAAAAAATTCCCTTTATTTATTTTCCGTAGAAGGGCCAATGGACTGTCTATTCGCATCCACGTTTATTTTTACCTCCAAACGGTAGAGTCAAATTAATTTCAAGTTGAAGGCTTTATACCTTATCGATTTTTAAAATTCAAGTAGATATTTATGTACATGAGTACGTCTACAAATGCGTTTAAAATGGTTTTATGAATGTAAATTGAACTGAGAAGTTTAATTGCGCATAACGTTTTGAGCGGTATGAATATATGGATAAATATGTAATGTAATAAATTACTAAATGGTTGAATTTTGTGTCATGTTCAATAATACTATAATTTATTAAAAATAAAAGAATAAAGGTTTACTCACATTCATTTTGACCGACGTTGAAGAATGCACGAAACAAAGGGGTCCGGGAAGCACAACTTCCGTAACGTAAAGTATGTTTTATTTAGAGGCAGCCTTAAAACAATCAACAATGCAAAAAATTCACTTAATTTGCAATAATTTGCAAACCACAATTCACTGATTTGTCCTCATGTCTTGATATGTGAACCCGAATTCAGTGCCATACCACCTGTAAACATTTGAGTTAAAAATTCGGTCGCATTGCAAATTGAAATGACAGTTGATTTGCAGCAAAATTCGTGTCGGTCGTTGAGCTGGGAAAGCAGAGGTTTCTCGTCGTTGAACAAGGAGACACAAGTTGTTGGGCAAATGAAAACTCGGTATTTGTTTGCTTTAGCCACCTCGAAGTGTGATTGAGTCAAATTTTCATGAAGAGCGAGCAATGTTGATTGCATCAAAATCGAGAACTCTCAGGAGCAGTGTTACCAACACAGGAATCGTGTCGTGGTGTGCGAATACTTTAGACGAGTGCTTTCACCGCAACACTAACAATATGGAACGGTTCGTGAATCGTCTGCTTTGTTCTCTGATAAAGTTTTCACTTAATAAAACATAACGAGTATTGCAATGTTGATAACTTGTGACTCTCGACTAGCGTAAGTTTATGATTGCTAATGTACATGAAAAATAAATCCGCATGTATTTATTTAGTTACACCACTTAATCTTATTCCGCCGACTCTACCATGACCGTTTATTTGATTCATACGTGAAAAGGATGACATGTGATATGTACTCAAAATAAAATTTATGGACAAAAATTGCACAATTTTTTTGCGAATCTCTTGCAAAAAGAGTGGAAATAGAGGAGCCAACTGAGAAATATGTATGTAAGAGGAGCCAGGAAGGTGGTGGTACACTTGCGAAGAACAATGCAAGACTAATCGAAAAGGACAGCAGCTGATATTAAATTTATTTTTTGGGTATGGACTATGGAGACGAAATTATAGGCTTCGGTCAACCAGGGGAACGACGAGGTTCGCCTTCTCGTAACTTTGCTCACAGTTTTAACCACCAAGCTCATTCTTCCAGTTCATAAAAACGTCCATCTAGATTCTCTCGGCATGCATTTAATGCCTCTCCAAAAAAATGGGAAGTACCCTCCATTGAACCCTACCTCCTAATGTTATTTTTGAATTAGGATTTTGGTGGCAAAATACCTCTTAAAATAATATACGTATCTGCAACATATAATTTTGGAATTTTATGTAAAAAGCGTATCATTTATTTACAATTAGAGTTAACGCTGCCATAAAAACATACATTTTTAAAAACTACATGGCAATCAAGGCTTTTGTGGACTTAAAAGGTCCTCCAATCAAGCTTCCTATCGATACAAAGTGATACAGTTTTGGCTTCAGGACAACATAAAAAATTGTTTTTAATTTTCCGAAGTACATCTTTACAAATATACAGTACCAGTCTTAAAAAACTGGCACGTTCATGTCGACCATTCCAATCAGTGCAGCAAAGTAGAACTAAGGGGTTAAAATTTTCAGAAATTGTCTTCAAAACGTGAAATTCGGCACGTGGTAATGCCGAATTTTTAATCTTAAATTCTTTATCGCTTCTCAGGAATGAGTATGAAGTAAAAAGTGAGCAAAGTGTAACCATGGTTGCACTTTGGGTACCCTAGCCCCTACATCCTTTATATAAGTTGCTATTTTCATCTTAAAAAATTGAGTATGGTGGGTAAACACTACTTATGCGTAGCACATACAGCCTTGGAAGTTTAAGATTTTAAAGAACTCCCACTTGTCAAGGGGAAGGACTTCTTAATACTTCAAAAATATGTTGCCAAATAATAGAAAATATCTAACAAACATTTAATCCCCACAACGGAGATTGGTAACAATCCGCCGGTCAATTCGGACAACAATTTAGACGCGGACTCTGTACAGGCTAAATGAAGTCTGTCTGCAGGTTTTCTATTTTGTGTTACTGGGCCTAAGTCGTCATCAGACCCAGAGTATGAATCGTTATCAAAATTATTGAGTCAAAAATATAATAAGACCCATCACAGTTAAGAAATTTACATAGAATTACGATATGCAAAATGAGAGGCTCCTTCCATTTAACAGGAGGGAAAATTTTGAGCATTAAGAGGTTGCTTTCCACTTAGGTAACTTCTTAAATATTTGGAGGGTGATTCCCATTGTTTTGGAGAGGCATTAAATTACTTCCGATTCTCTCAACTATCGACAAGAAAGGGAAAAATAATAATGTGTATTATTATGTACCAAACTGGTAACAACAGCAGTCAAGCCAGTTAGCTACCAACTCGCACATCACATCATCATCGTCGTCATCGTACATATTCCATGTTGCTTGCCCCCATCCATATGCATATGCATGTATATCAAATATTACCAAGAGCTTCTTCTACATTTTAGAGAGCAGCAGACGAGGAAGACAAACCGTCTTTGAAAGCTTGATTTCGATAAATGAAAAAGTTGGATTATTAGCACAATTTGTGAGGTGCTAAAACTCTTAGTTTGAAAGTAATTTGGTAATAAATTAAATCAAACTGAGGGGGTTTGTAGGGTTCGCATTCTGTGTTATGCACATGTATGTATGCATGACTGCATATCAAATTTTCGGACAAACTCTTTTCCCAAACGGGGCTGGTCAGTTGAGTAATTAAAAGTTGATTGGCCCTCTTTCACCCTCAATCCGTCCTGGTGGCAAAGTGGATTTTGGATGGGGTTGAGTGGCGTGAGAATTGGTTGGCAGCAGGGCAACATTTTTGACTCAACTTTAAAAGACAATTGGTTGTGAAGGCGAAGGGAAAGCTTTTAAAGTTGAAATGAGGCAATTAGCAAACTGTTTAGCTATTAATTATCCAAGGGGTGAAATGAGTGCAGTTTACTAGGTTTTGTTGTTGTGTATGCTCTTAATTCAAGTAACAGGTTAATAATCATTTTTTGCTGAAAATTATGTCATTCACCACTTACATGCATTCTATAACGGCGTATTTTGGGGCAAGAAGAGACTTTTTTATTTTTGGATGATTGTTTTTATTTTTGATTACTTGTGTTTATGGATTGTCATTAATTATTTTTTTATACTCACTAAAAATATATTGATAAAACTGCTAGCAGTATATAGTTATTTACGAAGGCTATTACTGAGAATAATGCTCAGAATATGTATAATTCTAGTAATGTAATATACATAAAATCTTAAATAATTTGTTTTTACTTGCAGCCACTATGATTGAGCATGTTTCAAAAACCACAAATATTATTAACATTAATTTCAATATATGCATAGCTGAAAATCAATCTTTTTGAATAATAATAATAAAAATATGGCAAGTGTGTGATTCAATCTGATCTTTCGCTACCATGCGCATCAAAAGAATGTATGTATCTGTCTCAATTCTCATCTTTTATGCATTCTACATCCCAAATAAGCTATTCATTCCCGGATGCAAATGTTGCTGATGAAGTTGATAATGGGAGGAGAAATTGTTCTGAAAGTTGACATTTGTTCCTTGGAAGCCACTATTAACTGGGGAACAAGCTTTCACTGCGACGGATGAAGAATAGGACCCGTGATGAAGTGGTGGGTAGGATGTAAAGTGTGCATTATTGCTTCCATTACTCATATTATTACCGGGATTACAAACGCTTTGGTTAACGACACCATTGTTATCGTAATACGAGGCAGGGAAATGAGGTTGAAAGGGATGAAGAGGAAATTGATTTGAGTGGAAGGACGACGTCTGCTGTGCTTGTGCCTGAGGAGAAGACGGAGATTTGACAGGAGTCAACTCCAATGATGACGGAGAAGATGACGGGGTAACAATAGTCCGCTTTGATGATGGACTTGAGGACGACCGTGTGGAAGAACAGGTTGATGAGGAAGACGATGCAGGTGACAAGGTGGAAGAAGACGGTGACAGGAGTGAATAGTGAATATTTTCACCAGTGTCAACCACTCGGCTTCTGCTGCCACTGTTGCCATTATTATTCTCTGCTAAGATGCCCATTGAATTTTTAATATCTGACTGAATGCTGTTGCCCATCGCAAATCTTCCAGCAAAAGTTCCCTTTCCAGGCTGTCTGTCGTAGTAGAGCAGTCCGGACAGGTCTTTGTGCTCACCTGCAGATGAGGCTGTAGATAATGGGGATGATGACGAAGAGGATGACAATAATGGTGGTGTTCTTGTTGTTGACGTTACTTCGGGCAAAATTGAGTCAAATGTTGCGGTTGTGGTATTATTGACTGACTTTGATTTCTGGCTGTCACTCATCTTGCTACTTTGCTGCCCTTTGTTCCGAGATGAGGAGGGGTTGTTGTGGGTTTTGACATGTTTTGCGAGATGATCACTAAAAATTTCACAAAAAGTTATCACTCATAAAATTATGTATCTATATACTCTGCATCATTCCATCAAACTCAAATTATGTATTCATAAGTATTCGAAGGAGACTTTCTTATCTCTGAAATCAAATTATTCACAAGTTTAATTGTAAGTATATACCTGCGCATGAACCGTTTTTGGCATACATTGCATATGAATCTCTTTTCGCCCGTGTGCGTCCTCAAGTGTCGCTGCAGTTCATCGGAACGTGTGAAGCGTTTTCCACAAAACAGCCAATTGCAAACGAACGGACGCTCTCCCGTGTGTCCGCGTAAGTGGGCTTTAAGATGAGATGTTTTCCCATAGATCTGCACGATAAAAAAAATACGAAATAAGTAATTGTAGATTTAAAAGCTATATTTTTCGTTAACAGCCACTTATTTCCAATTCAGACTGATGCTGAGCTGTGACCAGTCTCACTCCATGCAGATTATTTTCGCACTTGCTCGTGCTCAAAACCAAGTGGACCGTAGCAAAGTGTCACGTTTTTTCACAACTTTCAATCTAGTCACAAGCCAAATGTTATGCCACGACTAACGTAGCGGAATGATGACAAAAATTGCAGTAATCAAGTTCACAATTTCGAGTTTTACCATTTACTTATTTCCACTTTGAGGAAGGGTTCATAGATTTAATGAAAACGGACACACACTTTTATGGCATACACGAGTCGCTTCCATATGAATGTACTTGGTGGGTACAATAAAATAAAATATTTAAAAAGGACACACAATTGTAATATCTGTAGAAAGCCTATAATCTTATAATATTCTGTTGCAGGGTGGATCCTGCTAACTAACCACAGAACGCCTATTTAAAATAAAAATAATGAAGGAAGTCAACTTTAAGAGCCATAAACAAACCGTCAGAATTATAGGAATTATAGAGTCATCATTGCACACACACACACACACCGCTTTCATGCGGCTATTATTACCATTTTGCACAAGCCTGCTATTATTTCACTGCAGAGGAAAACCCGGAGTGGAGGACATGACATTTCAAACCGTGAATGTGTATTCCGAAAGAATGCTCATTAGTACATCAATCCATAATTCGGGACCAGTTTTATTTATCACTTGAGTATGTTCATATTGCAAATTACAATTGTGCAGTAAATGCTCTGCCTCTTACCTTTCCACATCCAATCATGTGACAAATGTGCTGTCGCTTCTTTTTCTTTTCACCCGGAACTGCAATTAATACATACATGGTTCATAAAATTGGATATTGCAAAGGATCAGCACTTAAGTCAAAATGATTTCTCATAATGCCCCATAGCATGTCACCTTGTCCTCAACGACACTTTCTCTTATTTGCATACCTTGAGTAGGTTGAATTCCTGCGAGACAATTTGGACATCGACATCTCCTTGACTTTCTCTGACTGGAGGTGGGGAGCATGGAGGCCACGGCAGCCGCCACGGACGAGGGAGACGGGGAGAAGAACATGGAGGGGGTGAAGGACGAATGGTTCCCGGAAGTTGACATTGGTGGTGACTGCTGCAATTGGGATTGTGACGACTGTGAGGGGGAGGCAGTCGTCGACCACCAAGGGTAATGGTCCTTGGGTGTGACGCCACCATTGCCACCAATTCCCCCAACGTTGGTGGAGTGAAAGTTGGACTCTAGGCTTCTGCCACCAATGCCGCCTTGATGTTGCTGAAGGGTGCTCATGGACATTGGAATATTCATATTGCAAAATGATGGATGGTGGGAATGATGTTGTGGGTGGTATGCACTCCCAGGGTACGAGGGCAGATGGTTAAACTGTTAATAAATGAACATGTACATACTTAATAATGATAATATAATATGGACTTTGGTTACAAATATTGTCTGTTGATTGAAAAGATGCACGTCACTTTATACGAAATGTGGGTTGTTTATGCCATTAGGAAGGAAGGAAGAGTAGAAAATGGAAGTATTAACAACGAAGGAAGACTAGTTATGCGAAAGGATATGATTGATTGAATCGCCAACATATTGTACATATGTACACGTCTGTGTTTACTGAACTCTTCTTCTTGGGGAAATTACACCGACGATTTTTTCTGTATTTTGGGAGGTTCAGGGGTCAACGGGTAACAGAGTATTCTCCACGACTCGTGGACTCAATCACAAAACAATTTTCTGATCCCATTTCCAGACAAGCACAAAGCATAATTAACTACATACATGTGTACCCTGCTAGGAGAATATGTCTACGTAGTAAATATGTGGCTCAAAGTTAGAGAGGAGAACTAGGCAGGAAAAATGGAGCAATTACCAACCTGATGAGATTGCAATGATCCGTACTGGTGATGATGAAACCCATTCACGAAGATCCCTTCCATCATGGACGGAATGTATCGACAATTATTCCAATCAATCAACGTACACGCACTTTACTTCGGCTTGAGAATGAACTTTATAACTGGTTCATGTGCTCAACGTAAGTATTAAATACTTGGCAAGAAACTTTTATTATTTTGTAAAACTGCTCTTTAGAGGTGAGATTTTGCTGTAATTAATGAGAAGTTGTCAACCAAGCCAAGTAGTAAGTACTAGAAGTTGGTCTAACGAGCTGAGAAAAACGATTGACTCTGATTCTGGAAATCAAAGGACTTTTAGGTGTCAACTGTAACAGATACCATGCATTTATGCAGGGGGTACTTGGCACTTGATACTGTGTATGCACATACCTAGGTGCTAAGGGTAACCAGTTAGTAGGAAGGGCATATTTTCCACCATGGGTCGCTTCCTTAAGAGGGACACGGGTACTTGAAGAATTAGTACATGGAGGAACGACACTGCTAAACCCACTATTAGAGGATACCTTGTTAAAAGTTGGGTTTCGGCGTGTGACAGAATTGTGAACTTGACCAAGAGGGGATTGTTTAGGTTACACCCTTTGTGACATTAGGGCAGTCGAAGGCGGTTCACAAGGAGGTACTCAAAAAGAGGACAGAAGCTTATCTGCCCATCAGGAACAGTCGTTATTGGTATATTGCCCCATGGTAAATAGATTATGAACATATGTATATGCTCCCTCAGACAGTTCCAAGTAAAATATCCCTCTCTACATACATACGTATAGAAATATGTGCATATGCACGTATTTACTTATTCACCTTTTCTGTTGAGAATCGGATTACACGTCAAGCCGAAACTGAAGAAAAACTTCTTTTGTTCATAATCCTCCTTCCTATCAGTCAAAACTAAAAGGTTAGTTTACATTTAAGGATTAAGCTTTTTACAACAGAATAAGGCCCCACACACCACCCACGCATGACTGAATGTCGAATGTCATCAACAATACTTGATGAATGCGTAAAGTTCTGGAATTTTACAAATAATTTTACTGCTTGATTAATGTTATGCAGTACTAATTGTTCAGATTTGTACAATTCATGAACTTTGAATAAGCATGAACATGTTCATGGATGAAGAAATACGGGCTCGCAAAATAAGTTATTACTTTAGAGTTGAATATTATTGATATGTGCATGTAAAAAGTCAAGGAAATCGCAACGTATTATTTTTCAATTATAAAGTCGTGCATTGTCAATCACTCATTATTAAACCATCAAATAAACCCCCACTTATCTGGTCTGTGGTAGTGTTGGTTGGTAGCAAGCTCTTGTTCGAATTTATTACAAAAGTGTTGTCTGCTTCTCTTTTCAAGCAAGAAAAGTTAATGACAGAAAACACACGTTAGAAGATATCGCCAACGTCTTGGGTCTTCTTGTCAGAACAAATTAATGATAAGAGAATGGAAGCTATTGAGTTGTATGTCAGCTAACTGGTCCAACCAATACATCACGCTGGGAGCAAATCGACAGCAGTTTGTTTTTACCAACAAACTTCTCGTTTCCATTTCATCATGCGTTTCTGTTTTCCTTTGAAATCTAGACAGGTGTAATTAATTATGACTAACTAACTGCAAGTTATACCTATAAACACTATGTGCACATAGTAGCCATACACATGCATAGATTTGTGTGTATGTATTTATAATGTCTATATGTACATACTTTTCTTTGTTTGCTCGGTGATGAGCTGGGTGTCTGTTGTGCATAAATATGATCTGAATGTAACTTGTGGGGAGGGATGTTTGACATTTTAAATGAAATTGAGAAATATGCATGTATATCACCGTAAAATACCTTTCGCCATTCATATTGTTCAGCAAACCCTCCAAGAAAAATTGTTTAGTGCATGTGTACATTAAAAATTTAAGGGGCAAATAAATTCTCCTCCTTATCATTTATTCTTGTTCAATTGAGAAATTTGTTGTGCAAATGTTCTCACATTTTTTATTCTTTGAAGTCTTGGCCCATTCCAAAAACTGAATTTAGTTGGGTACATGAATATCAGTAAACTTTTTATTCTCCAAGAATTTATTGACTATGTTGCTGGCCAGTCCTCCTAACCAAATAAATTCATTATTTGAAGGTGTCTATAATAATAGTTTGGGATGAATTTATCCAAGTGGAAACATCACTTGAAGAAGTCAAGTCAAGTTGTGATCAATGAAAGTTGGAAATGATATTTGAATTGAAATCCAGAGTTCAGTTTTGAAGCAGCAGAAGAAGTGGCATTTATATATTTCTGAAAAGAACAAAATCAGTGCCCCGCTGGACAATAAAATGTAAACATGAGAAATTACAAGTGTTCATATCCTTACAGACTCAGATTTGGGTGACAGATTCATTTTTCCGTTTGTATAGGAGCGTTCGCACGGAAGAAGTCAGGCGGAGGTGCTTTTCATCTCGCAAACAAATGAGCAACCTTACAGAATTACGATCATTGTTACGTCTTGTAAAAGTAATAATGACCCAACCAGCCAAGAAAGAAGGATCAGTGATGTACATGGTAATAGAAATGGATGGGAAACTGGACTGGTCCATCGATCCCAGATCATAAAGAAGAACACCATCTTAAGAAATTACGTATACAAATAATATAATATTTCCCTTTCTATGCTCTAAAATGCAAAAGGTAGACGAGAGAGCAATTGGGCTAAATGATACAGCCTACGTGTATACTTATGCACGTATGTATCTACCTGCTGTAAAGCAAAGGTATCTCATACAACGGTGAGAATAGTAAAATGCTGCAAGAAAGTCTCTGCTGAGATGTTTTGCTGATGTCAAAAATCAGCAACCAAAAAGTCAAGTTACTGAGGTCTTCCTGAGAAGAAATCAGCAGGAGGTCTGTTCATTTTCCCTTTTGACTTCGCACCCACATATTTACTAGATATACACCTTGGTTGTTCTGGACCTCAATTCTCTTCTCACGTGTATAGAATCATATAACGACCAGGCACTTGCAGCAATCTCAGAGTGTATAAAAATTGGTTAGAGGAAAGGCACCAAGATGTGTGTTTAGCAAATTCTGTTAGAGATCTTTTCCAGCTAATTGTGTGTAAGCAATAAGCGTCCTATTTATCTATATGGAGGTGAGAGTCGTTTTAGTGTGGAAGCAGCATGGAGCTCTGTAACAGGACAAAGACCAAGGGTCGCGCAAGAAGCTACCCTGTTGCGAGGGTGAACTATTTTTCATGGGACTTGATATTTCTTTAGCGCCATCGGCACTGCTTTCCTTGACTCTTGTTCTCCTTTTTTTCAGAAAAACGAAAAGTCGGTCTCTTTTCTAAATTTTTCTACTACTTCAACAACCATTTACCAGCATATAATGATCTATCTTTTAAGACCAGGCAGGAACCTTTGTCTACGAACCAAACATCAAAGGATCTAAATTTTGTGTTCTTCGGGTTAGCAGCCCCGATTTCCTGTGCATCGTCAGCTTAATACATATTTCAACTTGTATACAAAAATGTTCTAGCAGAGTGCAATAATAAGTGATCATCTATCACCCATGTAATTGAATTACTTGTACATATGTATGCAGTAAGATGTATAGAAATTGATACTGTGTGTGCATTCCATTATCAATTTCGATGGTGGTACTAATAATTCTTCAAATTTCCATTGATATTTCCATCTGAACGAAAAGAATGCCAATTTTCTCAATAAACTTAAATCCTAAGTAATTATTTATGCGTCAGCAATGCTTATTGCAAATATGAAATTAAATCTATTAAAAAATCAATCTGACAATGTAGAGTTTCATAATTTGTAAAACTAACTAGCACGAAGCTATGTAAATATTTAAAGCGTTTATTGTTTGCATTTAACTATGTAGAAAGAGGTAAATCTGCCATTACAGAATTATAGTTTTTGAGTATTCAAGCGCGTAGATGATAAATTGTTTGGTCACTTGATTTACGTTCATTTATCACCCCGAGCAAACTGCATGGTGTGCTATTTTATATGTAGATAATAATATACCTTCAATATCAATGATACTGGTTGACTTTGATTAGTTTATGGTCATTTAACAAAAAATCTGCATATTGTGCCCGTCAAACTTTCAAGACTATTCTTATACTGTGTACTTATCACATCATGATGGAGAATAAGAGATATATGGCCTGACTGCATGCATGGTTAGTGCTCAGCCGTGAATTTGAAGCATCATTTATGAACAATGAGGATGTGTCCAAGTCATCTATTCTTGAAGAATAGGACCATAAAACTTAACAGGGGCAATAAAATCGAGGACCATTTCTGAGTTGAAGAAAACCAAAGAAATAACGACAGTAATTATTGCTCTTTGGCCCTTTTCCAGTGCAGACGGCTGATGATTGGCGTGTTGTATTTTATCTCAACAATAGCAAACTACATGAGTACGCGAGTTACGTTAGAGCTCTTGCAAAGCAACAACCGTGAGAACTCGAGCAATCTTGGCTTCCTATGTTCGATGTGCGCATTTGTCTGTATGTACGTATAAAAATCCGACTTTTCTCCGACTCAGGAATCCTTAAAATACATTGCCGTCTCGTTTTTGACCAGTTTAGCCACGTCATCTACAGTGACGAGCAAATCACCGATCCGTTCATACGAGATGAACAAGGAGACAAGAAATCTCTCATTTAAATCCTACCATAATCAGCTAAAATGAAGCGTAAATACTATTTATTTATTTTTATCACGTTTGAAATCATTACTGGCTATAAGACCGTGACGTATTATGTGAGATGTAAGGAGTTGCTGAGTTTCAAAGACAATGATTCAAAAACCTTATTCTTCGCCGAAGCACTTTACAGTGTAATAATGGCACTTGAATTCAAGTACCAACTGATCGCTGTGATGACATAATTCCTTTACTAGAATCCGGCTAGACGGGCGTTGTATCTAATTGTTGTTCATTGGAAGTATTCCTTTGAACATTATTTTCATTGGGTTTGTAAATAGCTTAAATCTGTAGTAAATGGCCATATCTTTGAGAAAATCTGATCTGCTTCTTGCCGACGACTACATATTTTCCTCATACACTAAATAATACATACGCCGATAGATATTTTGTTGCAGGAGTGTATGAACAGAAACTCTTATTAATCTTGCGCAAATTGATATCATTGGATTTCAATTTACTCTAATTATTTCAAATTTGAAGCAATAAACTAAGAGTTTCAACTGCTATGAAATAGAAACTAACCTGTATTAAATAGGAGGATATTTTAGATAATTGTATGCATTGAGTAGTCTCTAAGCTTGAAACAAATTGATGATAATCTCTTACAATTTGTGTCTAGCAAAATTATATGGCATGGAATCTCCAGTTAATAATGAATCCGCCACAACGTATAAACCTGACTTTACTTTAGTTCATATACATATAGTGATGTATCAGTTGGTAATAGCAAAGTATTTTTCAGCAATTTGCCGTAAGCGTGTCATTACCCTAACTCTTTGAATAAGCAAAGGTTTGATTCAGACGTAAATATTATTTATAAAAATTGGTTCAATTACAGTTGTCAGTCGATTCCTGGATTGTCTGTAGTGATCATTTAATAAATATGTATGTACAAAATACGTCGGAACAGTTCAATAGTTTCCTGTTTGTTTTTCAAACGTACTTTCATACAGTGTACGACAAGATGGGTTTCTCGTTAATTATTCAATGCTTAAGAGAATCGCAGAAGGTCTATGAAGGGTTTCCAGCATAAATAATATTTAGTACGTTCTTTGCAAGTATAGTCTTTTAAGTACATTTATTATTTCCAGACATGTGGCATCTGTATGTACAATTGAGCATATTCCGCATTCCGGCGGACACCAAACAGTAAAATCACTTTCAAGATGGGTGAAATGTGTAAAATTGTGGAGGTTACATGTTTGGTAGATGAATAAGCTGGTTGTGGTATGAAATACATGCCAGGCAAAATTTTCTGAGCTTGGTCAACAAAGAAATTTGTTGACTGTTGCCTGCACGAGTCGGAGTAACTGGAAACCAAACTTGCAGCCATCGAAAAGTGAGGAAATTGGTGCTGAACCAAGCCAACCAGCGTCAATTCTGAGCTCGAATTGCACTTAACAACAAAACTCATTTGGAGCAAGATAAGCTGCAAATGAAATACGTGAACGCAATAGGACCAGAATAAATACAGCAGCAGTTTTACATGCATTAAAACCCCTTAAAGGTTGGATTATTAAGTTTACAATATCTCGAGTCATTCAGTCTACTGAAATATGTGAACCGTTGTCCTTCTTATCCAGCAACATATAATACATTTGTTAGCATGGACAGTTACAACTTTACTGAGAACATAACCAGTGGAAATAGTCACAAGTCTTGTAAATTAAACGGTTGGTCCACGGTACTTGTTCTGCATCAATTCATATGCACACATGCGGAGCAACTTTTTTCTGAAATGTCTGCTTGTCACAAACTCCAAATCTGCTGGTTCCTTGTATATTATGGAGAAAATCACCTATTTAACCCTTTAACGCGTATGATTGACGACAAGCAAATGCATTAAATCGGGGACACTATAAGTATGTTGTGGTCATGGCGCGGGAGGAGAAATTCAGGAGTTTTCAATAAAACTCGAAAAACTGAAAAATCAAAAATTTAACATTGAGTTGTATAGGGAAATATCCAAATTTTTGGGAAGAAAATCTTCAAATTTAGCATTGTGTTGGCATAGGAGAAATCCCTCAAAATTGCAACAAATTTTAGGTCGCGGAGAGAAAATGGTGAAAATCAATGACCTCCTAGAAACGACAATTGTCTTCCTTCCGCGCCATGACCACGATTTTTCAGGACGACTTTTGTCGTACTCCCCAAGGTCCTGAATTTTACTTAGTTACGTGTCTACATGTAGACACGTAACTAAGTAAAATTCAGGACCTTGGTACTCCCGAAGTAAACCATTTCTTATAAAACGACTATTGTCGTAGTTACAGTTTAAAGGGTTAATGGATAAATATATTGACAATTTTATTTTGTCTCACTTTTCCCATAACATGCAATCTTCCGTTCATAATATATACAAATAAACTAGGACATCGTATCGACACACGGAACTGGCATACAAGTATTAATGCAGAAAATCAAAACTGTACACTACATATTAGTGATATCGAGTATGGAAAATTGGAAAGCATAAAGCAGCTTTCTACAGATGCATTGTTGAAATATACTTTTCATAAGATTGTCGTTTTAAGTTGGAATGTGTGGCATCGCAGGGTCATGTGCTTTGGAAAGTCTACAGTGTAGACTCTACACTGGAGGCTTAATATCTGATTTCATATTATATTTAATTGATTGTACTTGGTTTATCATTGGCACTATCTATCATTAATAAAATGATTTGTACAATTCAGTATAAAATGTGTTACAAACCCCAATAACGATAGAAAAAAAATCAAAGTTTGCAGTGGTGTATGTGTGTTGTGTCACTGTCACTTTCTTTGTCAACATCACTTTGACATCGGGCTCTGACATTATTAGTAACAGTAACAGTATTTTTCTCAGTAAGTGTTTGTAGTAAAGTGTAGTAGTACGTATGCAGCATTTTGTTGCGGGTAGCGTTAGCTTTAATTTTTATGTTATTTTCGCCTTGTGTGGCCCCGTCGATTATGACAGTGGTCAACTGGTAAATGTCTTGCTGTGTGGCTGAAAGGTGTAGGTGGAAAGTGACCACTACTACACGACGACTGACTACTGGGTTCAGGCCAATAATAATACACAGCCATACAACAACCATTCTTTTTACTAGCACTGCCACCATCGTTGAACCAAGTTAAATTAGTTTAAAACCATATAATAATGACTTTTATTGTTGCATTCCTTCTTTTCTTGCATTCAACACCACTTCTTCCCCGGAGCGGACATATCTTCTACTTCTTCTGTCCATCCAACTCCAAAAGGATGTTAAATGTCCACTAGCCACCAAGGGCCATCCATCCGTCCATCCATCCATTCCATCCGTAATATGCTTTCTTCCCTTTTATGCTCACTTTTGACTTTAAAATTCGGCTGTCCGTGTAGCGTGGCCAATTTACAGTGTTGGAGGTGGTTAAATGAAATTGGGAAGATTTCGGGCTTATGCACATACATATATATGAAAGGTAGTTGACTTTTACTGACTGAGGAAGACTTGCATACATACATTTGTATATATACATGCAGAAAATGGACGGGAGACAAAAAAAATCAAAGGCGTGTCTCTCCCATTCACTTCACATCATTGAGGACGGATACAATTGTGTGGAGGAGCTTCTTCAGTTGAGAATGCAAACTTCTATTCATCCATTTTCGCAAGTTCAAAGTTGATGTCAGTCATGATTCAAAGATTTTGATAGGTTTGAACAGAGACCCCCCAAATGCAGACCTGCCTCCCGTCACATGATGGCATGTGCTCATCCTCTGATTTCTTGTTAATGCTGTACGAAACCACAATCTCAGCAGCTATATGTTTACATATTTACTCCTGTGGGAGAGATACATATAAAATGACACTAAAACCATCATCACAGTGTCAAATCCAATTTTATAGACCACATATCCTTTTGTCTGTCAAAATGTCTGTCATCGTTATGCGGTTGTGGTTTACAGTTGTGTGTGAAATATACACGGAATACCTTATGTACGGATTTGGTTTGCATACTTTCGAAAATTCCAGAGAGTATGAACATTTTTGTGGTAATTATAACGGTATGCCTGGTAGAATAAATTTAGATCTTGTTTCGCAATATATTTAGAAGTACATATAATCAACTTGATTTAATATTGTTTCAGCTACAAATTACCGTGCATACTTTAGTATGTAGAGTACATTTAGTATCTATATTGCACATACATCTGGTTTATTTAACTGTGCGAATTTTAGTTATTACAAATCAAAGTCTAAAAGATATATTCTACAAAAATAAAACTGGAATGTATGTATACATAGATGCATTGTCAATCAAATTTCGTTACCTACAAATAAGCACCATAAAGTATTTAAGTACATTTGTGTGATTTACATTTGTAAAAGTTTGCATATATGTCCGGACATTGTGCATAGGAGTCTACAACCTACAATGATAATGAACTAGGTATTTGGTAACACTCACTAATAAGTAAGCACTCTTAAAAATACTGACATTGAGTATGTGTTGCATTTTTTGTTATTGCTTTCGACCAAATGTAAATCTTTGGAGGAAAGTTATTGGCATAATATTAATAAGTTAAAAATGTTTTCTGTATGCTCTCTAACATGAGAATGAGACTCGTTCCAGGAAATCTGATATTAAAAAAAATACTAAAATAAACAAAACAACGTTACACCATATACTTAAATAAATCTGCATTCTGTCATCGACTTTCATTGGCAAAAACGCTTTGGTATTGGATAATGTAATGGTGTGAAGTTTAATTTAATTGTATAAAGTCACTTGGCAAAGCGCCATTTTAATTGGAATTGGAATGCACAATAGATTTAGATTTGCCCTTTGACAAATTCCCATTAGCAGAAGTTAAATGAGAAACGGGATTCCCAGCAACGTATGTAGGGTTTGCATCGGCCAGCGTCAAACACTCATCCAATGTCTTAATGAAGGTATCACATGTGGCAGAGAGGAGGTTTGTAGATTCGTCCAGTTTCTATTTAGAAAGTTACAAGTAAAAAAATCTGCATTAAATTCAGTAGTTGCACACTATTAAATATATAGTGTTCAAACATAGTCTATATACATTCACGTCAGGACCATTCTCGCCATTCGCCGCTTCTTTTATCGAATGAATTTGCTGCATCAGTAAATCGCAGTATAATCTAAGTTCTGACTTTTTTCCTTTCGCTAAATCCGAACAAGCCGAGGAGCATGATTCTGTAAGATGTGAAATCTTCATTTATTCGGCGTAGTTTCAGAATTATGTACAAGTAAAGTGCATTTATTTACCTGAAGTCTTCCTTGTTCTTATGTTTGAAACAAGACCCTGAGCCTTTGCAGATCCCAGCGCCACCAGCCACCCTGCCCTTTCACCAGGAGACCCCACTCGAACATAAATATGCTGCTCTCCAGGAATAACTATGTCTAATCTGTGAATATCTGTTTGATGCACTGAGGAAAGCAATGTAAACGATTATAATGAATAAATAAATACCAATAAAAGTTTGGAATCGCAGAGCTCTTACCATTGATGTCACAAGCGCTGACACACACACTTCCTTTGCAACCTTGATTAACTTCCTCTTCCGAGGAATAATATGACAAGATACCATCCTCTAAAATAAACCACCTGGGTTGCCAACCTAAAACAAATAATGATCAAGTAGATCTATAATTACAGAAATGACTATTTAGATTTTTATAACTGCTCACCATTCCAATAATTGGTCCACTTCAGCAAAATCCCCTTCATAGTGACATGGTCAATAGACGCAGGACGGAATTCAAGATATAATAATTTCGCTTTTTGGACATTTGATTGCTCGAAGTATGTTTGGGTAGGACGTGGATTCAGAAGACAAATATTCTACAAAAATTAACAAAGTAATTAGTCACGGAGATGGATTTCGCATTTAGTTGTAAAATAATACGAACTTACGTATGTCAAGGCAGCCACAGATTTCTTTATATATCAAACTATTTGTCCGTGGAAATTGAAAATACTAAAAGTTCAAAGTTGCACGAATGTTATTTGTAAACAGAAGAATTTGACAGATGAAGTTCCATTTCCGCTGCCACGACATCTGAGAACCGTGGCACTCACCTCGTTTTCCTCCATTTCGCTGGGGGCCTCCATCAGTCCGACAATTTCGACCATGAAAAAAGTTCTAGAGTTGACGCATTCTTGATCTTAAACCGTGATCGCGGCTGTGGAATTCATTTTCTTTAATACTTTGAAATAATAAAATATTTTGCATGTAGAAAGGAATTTTACACCATTGCACACCTTTCACCAGATATGACAAATAATGCACTTTAATATGCACTTTCACCAGCATCCGCAGGAATGAGGGGTAGAATTGTTTATTGCTAAATCAGCACCTTATTGCCTTCAAGATAATTGCAATAAAGCTCGCTTCTGCTGAGTGGGTGTAAATACATATGTGCATAGATGAAATATGCATTTAGGATTTCTTAAACTTATTTAAACTTTTTTCATGGACTTTTAAGAAATTCAAGCTAACCTCATGACTATATTATAATTCCTTAGGTTTCACAGACACAAAAGGATGCATCATCAATATTAAAAGTGCAAATACTGTATGTTTCAGCAGTTTTGAGATTGTAATTTACTGTGCCATAACAATATGCTCATCAATTTCGTTAATGATCCCGTCGTCCAGGCCTTCATATCTCAATTTGGATCCTTCAACTCTTCAGAATAATTTCCTTCGAGCTTGACATATGTATGATTTGTGTATAAAGTCAAAAATGGTTATGCAAACTTTCATGTGAATAAGTAGCAAATCATATAAGGTTTGTCAATCAATCACTTCTTTGTCATAGCGTCAGAAAAAACATCCTTTATCGTGTGGGGTATGAATTCACCTCGATCTGGATGCCAAAATTGCAAACTCGTTTAGTTCTATCTGGCCGGGTATGATATGATTAAGGTTGAAATGTCCATGAAACCTTACGTAGCATATCCTCTCAACTGGAAACGACCCTCTTCGTCCGATTGTGTCAACACAATCGCAAATCTGCAGTGTTCTCATTAAAAGGTTTCCACTAGGACCCTTCTCAACGCAGAAATTCTTCCGTTGAACTACATATGTGATGTATGAAGCCAAGCATTCAATTTTTTACCCAAATTCCATATGCTGTCAAATAATCAGTTTGGACATTTGACCTTTGCTATTTCATTACTATATTTCCCATCTATTCCATCAAATGAGATTTGATTGAAAACTTACTTGACGTAACACATACTAATTTTCTATGAGAATACATAATTACAAACATTTTGACACATTCAACGTTTCATAATTATAGTTCAAATTGTTGTACTTATAAATGGTTGAAAACGGATAAGATCAAATACTATACAGTGCATAAACATATTCATATACTGAAGAGCACTGAAAACACAAGAAAGACTCGAGGGATTTTCATTTAGGGCTTGTTTGAAAGAGAAAGCAAATGTTGAGCAGTGCAAAAGATGTTCAAATGTGTAGTTCCAGAAGCGCGTTTGATCTGCAGTTTGACATTAGCATAAAACTGAGCTTACTTTCACGACCAATTTATTTCTTCTATCTCTTTGCCCTGAGACCAAAACATCCTCTCTATTTTCTTAGTTTGAATCGTAAATGATGGTTTGCAGTATACTTGAAAGGAAGATGAAATGTACAAAAATTCATTTATCTATGAATACTTGCTTCCTTTAGTATGCACGCATTCGTAAAACCAAAGCAAAACCCCCAACTTTCATTAATTCATCAGCATATTTATCTTGCATGATTGAGAAGAATTTTGTGTTATTTAGCAGTAACTTGGATGCAGATCTCTATAAATTACTTGCCTTTATGCTGACAGGCTAATGGGGCTCATAAGCCAAATGTCCGATACATGTCCATGTGTCGCTCTTACATTTAAGCCCAATGCATTACGTATGACAATGTCGTAAACTAAACCCTTGGCCTACTGCGTAACTACATATTCATGAATACAAAAGGCAACCGTTTTAGCCCATTGCATAACTAGTAGCTATTGAACTATGTGTACACATACATATGCAGAAATTTATATTTCTAGTAACATTATATCACAGTCAACTACATACATAAGTGTATGATTAACAGCATTTTACGTAAACGCTAATTGGCCAATACAATGTTATCCCGATCGAATCTGGGTGATTTTTTTTACATCGAAGAGCAGAATAAGCTTCAACTGTGAAGAAATTCTAGGTCGAATAGTAATGGTCGTAATTGCAGGCAGGGGAAAGTAAGCTCTTCACCTTGGTCAGATTCTCCTCCATACATTTTGCTCTCCATTCCCCACTTACCTTTTGGTCTGGTTGTGAAGTACCATTCTCATCGCGGACTTTCTCCAATTCCTTCCACATGCCCAGCTCGCTAGCAGAAGCTCCACCACGACTGCATAATCAACTATGGGATTCAGTCAGGGCACTCTTCTCTTTCAGTGCTTTTGCATTCTGTCTTTCTCGTCTTCCTGTCTTTCTCTCTCTCTGCATCCCGTATGGATCTGTGGGCTCTGAGGAGGACACAAAAGTTGGTAAAGGGCTCTGTTCCCACGAAACCAGTAGCTCTGCAGTAGAGCATGACTCCTTTCTCCAATCAATCCTGCTGCTGCTGCTGCTTCTGGGGAACTACAATGGCCTGTGCTGTTGCTCTCTCTCCTCAGTCTCAGTTTCGCCTCCTCATTCCAAGCACTTTCTCTCTCCTTTCTCCTCACCTTGCCTCACTTTACGTACGCACTCAAATTCCAGCTTAATTTTAAATTGAGGCGCATAAACTTTGCAATTAGTTTCGGATCTCTTGGGATTATATGGTAGCTCGTAATAATAATAATATTATTATTCGCAGGGGAATTTACATTAATTGGTGGCCATAATTTCATACCTCCGAAAGCATAATATATGCAGCCAGGTGAAAACTGTGAAAGTAATCTGATGTGCTCAAACAACCCATTCACACAATCATTACGGATTCAGGCAACGAAATCAATAAACTCTTTAGTAAACAAAATCATCCCATTTCATTCACTCACCAAAACTAAACCAAAAGCAAGGAGTTAGTGGAGTATCTACTAAAATCCTTCTCTGTTACTATTGTTGCCACTATTCCGCTTTCTCTACAAGTCAGGGACTTATTCAGACAAGCATCATTACCATAAGTTCATGTTCTCAATACTATTTAGCTATAACGGTTTGCGTAATTCGATCCTTTGTTGAATTGCAGATACAAACCATGCACGTAAGTAGGTTTACACTCTTCCTAATCGTTTAATTACCCTGTTCCTCCGCAGAAAATCCTTATTCTGACCAATAACCAGTCCACATTTCATTTTGGTATAGAAAGGATATGCGAAACATATTAAATAAGACTTTGTCTCATCATACGTATTAGGTTTCTGCGTCTCAAAAGCCAACAACCAAATAGTAATCGACGAACAAATAATTTCTTCCTTCATTTTTCCTACTTTTCCCCAACGGTAGAAAAATTCTACAAGGAAGTCAACCAAGCTGAGAACATCCCCAGGAGGAAAATAGCAGAATTGAAAGAAAAGACAGCGATCTTTGGGAAGCTCAATCGAGTCTCTATCAATCAAAATGAAGGATATTTTGATCTACAGCTGCTTCTTCTCACAAATATTTCTTCTGGTCAAGGCAGGTACGTATGATTTTTCGGGTGAGATAATGGATTTTCTTGGCTTTCTTTTCTGGCACAATTGGAATGATACCCACAGACACATTTTTGTAATGCTTACGCTAATGGTTGAACGTGCAGACATTGGCAGCTGCGTCATCTCGGATCGTCAGGTACATGTATGTAATACATAAGCATTTGATCATCACCTACTCAAACTCTGACAAGGACCCAGACTTTTTTTTATTTATCTTGAACTTTTTTTAAACAATTCCCTAAAGCTTGTCAAAAACTTACAGAGTTGAATTTTCATCGAACATGTGAAGCGGCTAATGTTATTTTCTTGGTATGCAAAAAAAACAAGCAAATTGAACGTGTATATGTTGGGAAAGAATGTATAAAAAGACCAAGTTAACAAAACGGCCAATTTAAACAGATCCATTTACTGCATAACATGTCTGCAATTCTCTCTTCCCGAGTCCATTTGGACAATTTGTTAAACTGCCAGCTGAACATACAATATCATTTTGTTGAAGAAGAAAATGAACTGCGTCCATTACATTAAACACAACTTTCTCTTCTCTCTGCTTGCGTAAACTGGGGCAGAATAAGTGCCGTGAAGTGCTGAATCTGTTACTATCCCTCGAGTGTTTCGTTCTGTTTTCTGACTTTCTGCATGGATGCCGTTTATTTTGCCTATACATTTATTCAAGTACATAAATTTATTCACATATTTGTACAAGATGTAGTTCAATAAAGTCTTTGAAAGTCCAATCTTTAATCTATGTATGTATGCAAAGCAGGATAAAATAATTAGTTCATAAGTAATAATACTATGTGAAAATAATATCTAAATCCGGATCGACATGAACATGACATGATATTTAAATGCTGTAACATTACGAAATTTACTTTAATTAATTCACGTGATTAAACATGCTGGTGGGTCTAGAATTCATTGTTTGCGAGTCATTCCGCACGAGTTACCCCATTATCTCGCACTCATGAGTTCTCTCAAACTACATAGTTTTGCAAAATGTTCAATCTGTTGGTTCTTTCTAGGATTTCATTTCTTGAGGCCAAGGAGAATTGTATGATATATTCTTTATGCTATTTGGACGGTGTTTTGGCACGTTTTCTGTATGAATTTTGTTGGCGACACTTATTTGTTAACTCGTTGTTTTGATACTATAATTGTTTCTTTTGATTTCATCACGTCACTGTCGTAATTAATAAACAATTACTCGACATAATTCAACCTAATAGTGTAATAATAAATGGAATTATGATATTTTTAGCATGACATATCGCCTGGCTTAAGTACGACATGATTATTTAGCGTTAAAGATAAAACGAGATAAAACGACCTCTTTATTCAAACAACTTTCTCCATCTCCACATTTTCGTCGTTTCTTCCCTGCTGATCTCCAAGCTTAGCAAATGAGTAGCACATAATTCTTGCAAATTAAGTGTTATCTAAGCGGAATAATTCGCATGTTCTTAAAGTCGTAGCATCGTTATCATTTGGGCAGGCAATACAATCTCTCATAAAAGTTGAGGCGCATTTCGTATGCATATTCGTGTTCTCACAGAGAATTTCACCAGTGAATGTACTTATGTACATACTTCTTGTCGAGACAATATATTGAATTTACTACACTACAGAATCCTTCCTTTTTCGTGTATGTATCATAAAAGCCAAGTGAAATTGGCTACACAAAACCTATTTCCAACTCATAAATTTTTGTACTTTGAATTTAGCATTATCTTTATGATACTTTACTGCATCAGCTCAGCTCGCTGTTCTTCAAAGGCTGTTTATTAAGAAGGAGAAAATAAATAAAATATTCATGCTTTCTCCGCCGTTGAAAACACATCGGTATCCGTAAGCCCTTGTCATGGAGAACTTGAAGAATATGTAAGTACATGCATACCTCTACCTCTGCGCATACATGTACATATATACATATAGTGTATGTATACATATATATGCATACAATGTAAGGAGAGACTAAATATATAGCAGCCAACAAAACAATATGGGCTCAAAGCTTCCATCTTATTTGATATTTGTTATTCAATTGGGACAGAAATCACTTCATCAGTCCAGTCTTGCAGAAAGTCGTCTCGTCGCAGAATGGAATCTTCTTTGTGACACAACTTTGAACCACGCTGATCACTTTATTCACCTTGGACGTCAGAGTTTGGGGAAAGCATTGTGTGAACTCTCAGCATTAATTAACTAACGAGCCCGAAAATAGAAAACCAGCTTTTGGTAGCGGAAGATATGTGGCGAGGCTTACAATTAGAACTGCTTTTACGTGCCTTTCGAAACGTGTCTGTTGATGTGTGACATGAGCCAAAGTCAGAGTTAATTGACAACTTGATAAGAAGGGGTGAAATATATATGTAAGGTATTCTGGTGACGTATTCTTGTGGGAGAATTTTCTGACATGGTCCACATTTTTGGGTAAATCAAAGATCCTTTGTGAAATTACAACTGCGGACATATCGGTCATGTGGTCATATTTATATATGTACGTACGTATGTGTGCTTGTTTTGCTCAATATTTGAAAAGAAGAATGACATTCATCTTCAAACAGATCTATTACGAGATATAGCTATTCCATTGCTCATGACATGACGGTCAGAGAAACAGATAATGAAAATGAAACGGCTCTAAACACGAACATGCTTCGAGCACGAACTTGATAATTTTCTCTTTTCTTTTTAAGAAAGCCAACACGTAGATCAAGATATGAGAACGGACCAGCTAGAGATCATTATCTTATATAGCAGCATTTATAGCATTCTTTGTCCACAATATTTGACGAGTCTTAATATCTTCAGATTACGCGTATCTGCTGCCAAACCACGGAAATCCTTTCCCTCAGTGCCAAAGCGTAGCAATCCTCTCAATGCCTCATCCGACTGGCTTATAATGCATCTCTCTGAAAGAAAGTTTATTACAGATTCCGTCCGCCTCCTCCCATTCCGATATTCTTAATACGAGAATTTCCCTTTAGCCTTGTTTCATACATGTACATGTACATATACACCATTGATAGTGTATATACATACATACGTATATGTAAGATCCTGCTTTATGCCATCCACTCAGAAAAATCTCTGAGCGGATTTATGTATTACTAAAGTAATATGTATAAATCTGTCGAATGAAATATGAAAAAGTAAAGTATAGATAAATGTAAATAGACTCATACACATACGTATAGTCAGGTTCTCCTACCTGTTTCACATTATGGAACATGGCATGCAGATTTTCACACAAAGGTCTACATCGAAATTTTTCTGCAAACCAATGAAGTGATAAATTTGTTTTCCACGACGTGACTTTTTGTTCACTGACATGGGTCAAATGGCCACAACGAGATTTTGAAAACAAGTTTTCAACTTTTTTTTACTCTTCGTTCCACCTCTTTCTTTCGCTAACTTTTACATCCATATATTTTATGACTGCAAAGTTTATTTCTTGTCAAGTTATATACATACAGAATATGTACATAAATGTGCTGCAAGGTTCACTATTTCTCAAGAAAGTTTGACAACAAATATGTAATCATTTAAAATTTATTTTTGTGTCGATGATTTAGGCTTACACAATATTATGTGTTTGACATACTTGTTTTTTCCCTTGACTTTCGACACCACTGATTTTATGAAAAAAATAAATACTTTATTTGTAACTTGATGATTTGTCACAAATATAAACGGACCAAAAACAATAACGTTACTAAAATATTTATACTAAAAGTCAAGCAGTCGTGAAACATTCACAGGTACATAAATATCCAGGTACGTTATGTAACCAGAAGTTCATGTAACCCACAAAGTAACCTTATATTAACAGAAATCAAAGACTCGTTTGTATAATGATGTGATGGAAATGGAAATACGATGTAATGTTCTTTCTGGCAGATGAAAAACTTTTTGTGTAAGCCGAAATTCATTTTCCTGTGCGGAAATGAGTTTTCATAAGAATGTGACTGGAATCTAAAGTTTGCTTACTTTGTTTACTCTTGTGCCTTGACTTGAGTAATCATGAAATGTCAAATCAAGTTGGGACTTCCTGAAATTTTATCCTGGGCATCCTCTTTTGCTCGATATGCTCACATGTATTCAAGGGGAAATATATTATATGGTATAAAAGCCTCCTAATTTTTCACACAACTTGAAACTTTTTTGGTACAGTTTAGAAACACTTAATACAACTATTTTATAGTGTAATTGAAGTCACTTTCAATGTCGTCAGATCTTAAAATAAATGTAATTTTTTATATCTTTTTTAAGGAAATGTACACAAAAGAAAGATACATACAATAAAATAGGAACTAGAAGCTGAATGCCGATACGCCAAATATAAACGCATTTAGTTTATATGACTTGTATTTCCATTTGCCCAAGTAAGTAGACGCTGGGGTTTGACAAAATTCGAGCAGTAAAAGTGTTTATTCGCAAACAGTCGCCTCGCGGACAATATACGCTTATCGTCAATCGTAGTGACTGGATCTCTTTTTATTTCCACACTCGGTTGAACCAAGTCTAGCAGAAAGAGTATCCAAGTTCCAGGCAACTTGGGACTTGCATTGCTGGATGAGCTTGGTTGCCACTACTAAACCGTGATAAATAAGAAGAGAAAGTCAAAAGTACTCTGACTTGTCTCCTTCGAGAACCAAGTTTTACTTCCATTGTGTAAAGAGAGCTAAAGTCTAATCGAATCACTGAATGCCACCAAACAGCAACAATTTTACTTCTTGGCTCTAATAGTAAATAACCAGTGAAGTGTGCAATAGTGGGAGAAGCAGTCCCCACTCCACTGCGAATTACAGCATAAATGAGTTATTTTTGAACACCATCAAGATATTATATGTACATGCCACATGGTTCGATTTCCAGATGTGACACCAAGTTAAACATTGAATAATTGAGATTGAAGAACTGCAAGTCAAATAGCGAGCCTGTAGAGCATGATGGGAAATGGAATACTTATTATGGTATCTCCGTCATCCGTCGTGAATGAAGAGTATGGGCAGTGAAAGGATAGACGATAGCGAGATTTTCATCTTTTCCTTCTGTCAAGTGAAGCATTCATGTAGCTTTCTCTTGAGAAATGTCGTCGATACTTGCAGCCATCCATATCAAAATATATACATCACACATAAAAGAATCTGAAATTTCACTGAACTTTAAGTTCAGTCATGAATTCTAAATTCATCCTCCTTCCGGGAATTTCGATATGCATAGCGGGAGAAAGCAGAAAATGTTACTTTCAGACCGAGATACATATACATTTCTCTGAAATATGTACGATTGTACATGATCTCTTTATTTATTTGTGTATCTTGAGAACCAATTCTGTATAAATTATAGTCTATATTCGCTTTCAAGGTTAGTTTTTACAGGTAGGAAATGAAAGTTTTGTTAGGTTAGTTTTGAAGTGACGTGTTGAAGTGAATATGTATGCACATTAGGTCAAATTCATTTAAAGTTTTTCTCATATCAAATTCTGAGCTTTCTCCAGGGTTATGCTCTGTCATGTTTTGTATGGTGGATGCCTTATAAAAGCATATTGTTAAATACAGTGTTGTGTTTACAAACACGAGAAACTATATGTATATATGTTATACATATGTAATGTGTACCGTGATTTTAGTCTTTAAAAGGTTAATTTCCTTTGAAATGTTTGAGTTTGTAGCCAAACTGGATCCCACGGGATGCTTGCATTCATTCCCTGTAGCTCCACATTGATACATATGTACACAAGTAATCATTAGACCAAATTTAATGCTTTTTGTTTTAAGAAACCCTTTACAAAGTGTGAAACTATGGTGCATATGGAGCTCGCATACGCACCACTAAACATTCCAAGAGTAATAACTTGCCTGGTAAATACGATGCTGCATTAGTTGTATAAGGCCTCATTATTGTATAATAATCAAAGTCTCTACATTTATCTTTAGCTAATACACAATTACTTAACTGCACACAACTGATCTTTTATTGTATATCACACGTACTTATGTACGTAATGAACTAACTGCGTAGTGTTACTTGTGTTATCCATTATGAAATTTCATCCAGCCAGAGGGATGATTTTGGTAAAATAAGGTGATGTCACCTTATTTTGTTACGTAGGAAAAAGTCCCCATCGTCAGGTCCATTTTGGCTTCTGCAGAATTCTACTAACTCCGAATTCATGCATGATGTGGATCTCGAAGTGCAAAGAACTTTTCCATTATTCTCCTTAATCCTTCCAACTTTTCATGATGCCAGCAAGATGGAGAGGGTTGAATTAGAGCACCCGAACACGGTAGATAAAGGAGGGGATAAGAAGGCTGCTGCAGGGAATGTCCTAATGATTACGGCGATTTCTTTCATACGCCAAGCCACCACTACGAAGTCAGTCACGAAGCATTATTGTTCATCCAATGCGACTTTCTCCTCTCCTCGTGCCTGGGCAGCAGTATGTACAAATGTATTTACGTATATGTGCATGTAGCAAAAGTGAGCAGACAGCTTTGCTTTCCTCTTCCTGTTGATCGCAATTCTCACTTTCCTTCCCGGGGGCCGTTGTCCGTGAACGTATGGCTACTTCCCAATGAGTCTTCTAAATGAAATTCCCAACTGAAGCTATCTGGTTATGAGAAGGATTTGGCAAAGTGGCTGGCATAATGCCCGTAATCCTGGCTCAATATGGGATTAAAAGCAGCCCATCACATTTATTCCCACCTGTCCAAATTCTTTTAATTTCGAGACGCACACACACACCGTTTCGGGAGAGCCTGGAGGAGCCAACTGCCAATAAATTCTGTCCATTATGGTACCCATCCTGTCACATCATTTACATTTTAACAACCATATCATGGATGATTTCAACGGCCACGCCACATCCAAATTCAAATGCATGCCTACGTGGCAGAGGGTACTTTCCTTCCTTTCCACAACTACCCCAAAGGAAGGTAATGAGCGAAAGTGAAACATGGCACTTTCCATAATTTGATTTAGAGATTCCAGCAGATTCTGTGGTTTGGTCTCATGACGGACCTGTATGTTCTCGTGAAACCTTGTGGGTGGAATCTCACTCGTTCATTAATCTCATCGCACCGATTTACACAACTTTGTTCATTGTTCAGCCTCCTTAGGGAACATTCTTGCTGTTGTAACCGGCCAGAACAAAAAGTTGTACACATGCATTGTACAATATCCTTTCTTAATAACTCTATGTATGTATTGCATGAAAATCGTGCTACACTTGGAGTAATGGAAACATTTTCTAATTTTTGCAGGGAGGACAGTCAACAACACGCTTAAGTGTTATCAGTGCGACACATTTGGCAAGAATCCTGGCGCCATTTGCCCGGAAGAAGACCTCAAAACATGTCCAAATAATATCGCGGCGGACCGTTGCTTAACTCGAGTTACCAAAAATGGTATACACAATAATACACAAGAACAACTATTACTAGTCTGAAAACTTATCCTTATCCTAAAGTTGTCAGACAGCATTAATAGTTGTATTTTTGTCAAGTGAAAGTATCCCATTATACTCGCTTAAACCGTTTCTTTGTTTCATTTCACAGCAACTGGATACTACGTCGTCAGGAAATGTGCATTGGCTCCATGTGAGCTTCCTGACGGTTTAAGTTCTTCCCTCTTTAAACTGTCCTCGAACTGTGACCGGGATCGAGATGAGTTTACGTGTTACACTTGTTGCGTTTTTGATGGGTGTAACTTGAATTCTGCAATTAGAATGGGTTATTTGCACTGGTCTGTCCTCCTAATCACTATGTCTGCACTGATGATCCTCAAATAGACCTGCTCTATATATTATTATAGGAAATTCACATTTTGAAATATTTCGTCTCAACAGCTCTGTAAATTTGTTCAACACGAAAATAGTAAATTTCTATCTAAGATTGCAAAATATACAGTATTAAGTATTAGATGTAACAACCTGCATCTGCGTCTGCACAAAACCTTGATCTTGACTAGTTATAGCTTATCGAGTAACATTTACAAGAGACAAACTCAATACTTGTTAAAGTTTTTAAAATCGTTTACCCTCTTGTTAAATGAATTATTATTTGTAGGTCGCTACCAGCAAGTTACTAAAACTTCGCTAGGATGTTAAATGACAAGAAACGGTACACAATTGAATTGGAAAACCAAGCACTATGTATAATATTTGAATATGTTCTCATGTTTGCATCAAAGTACATGGGAGTGCGTCTCTTAAGTTTTTATCTCTATTATCCTCTATCTCATATTTATATACATATGGAAATACAACAAGAGTTTATGATTGGGTTGGTATTATATATATTGAACTAAAAAAATACGGCATAGGACATATTAGTAGTGTATTAAAGTAATTAAGTCTTATTTCATATTTTCTGAGTATTGATCACTGTATATAAATACTTCACTGATCTTATCAATAATAAATACAGCTTAGTAATTGACCATCTCATTTGACTACTACATATTTACGCTACATACATGCGTGGATACTATTACAACTCCACTTTTGATCCTAGTAATGGAATATCTTTGAGTTCCGTTCGAAGACACAAAAATTCGCCACAAACGCACATAACAGTTACTCCAGCTATGGTCAGAAGCCACCAGGACAGCGACGATGGGAAAGATCCGTTGTACAAGGATGACAACAGCAAGTGAATCAGGTAACACGTTACAGAAAAATCAAGACACTGCTTTGTCCTTTTTACAACCCTCCATAACCCCACGGATCTGAAACAATACACTAATTATTAGTATTCCATGCCAAAATATTCTACCTCAAACTATGGACTGTGGAACCGGATTGATGTATATTCATTCACGTACCCTGCCAGAGCATTCAGCACGTAGCAAACGACAGTCAAGATTCCAGCGCGGTCACCAAAATTGACGGCCTAAAAATCAATCATATGCTTTACTACTATGTTATAGAACGCTATATTTAATAAAGACGATCGATTATCCACCCTCTACTAACCTTGTGACTAAAAACGTTGAAAAGATTGACGTCTATTCCTGTTCCTAACGCTGTCAGGATAAGTAAGGCTCCAAATGTGAAGTAGAAGCAAGACTGAATGCACACAATTTGGGAAAGGATTAGCGCAGGGTCCCAAACTGTGACTCTGAAGTGACCACTCATTCGAAACAGATTTTCTCCTCCTCCAACATAACGTTCTTCTTTAAAATGTAGTCAGTCCTTTCCTCCGCCATCAAACACTTTATCGATATCGATAAGCACAATGTCTCTTAATTTTCATCGTAAACTATATACTTTTCCTTAAGTATTATCTATTATTCACTATTAAAATGTATAATGTTCATGTTTATGACCTTTGTAGATTTATTTTGTTTGTTTAAAGTTTGAAGTCTCCTCCTACCCGACGTTTCACTAAACCCCAAAAATCGTCTCATTTACCAAGACTCGTATGAAGTGAGTATCAAAAAGTGTCGATGTTCTTATGACATTTTGATATTGTGACAGTTTGACGAATGCATGATAAGCTAGAAAAGGATGTTGATAGACAACAACTTTGCACTATTTCTCATAAAACTGGATGTCCAGTTAGTGGAGAGTCACGAGTAATTTCCAAATTCTCCAGCCAGCCGACAAACCGAATGATGCTGTGCATCCGGTTTTGTCGGAAAGTATAAAGACAGCTGACTCTCACCATGGCTCTGGACTTTCCAAACGCCACTTGCCGACCACGGAAATTGCCAGCAAGCATGACAGTTCATGCCTCGGGTATTTTCCGGTAGGGACATTTCCAGGTCATGGTCGTTGTCAATTCTTTATCATTATGGCCAAAATTATTCACCCGATTTTGAAGTCGTCAAACTTGGCTATTCGATACTGTATTCAAAATAAAATCAGGGCGAATATTGAAGTACCAAAGATTATTTGTAAGTATTGTTTGTATATACATATATAACGCATTTGATTACATAGCCACACAAATCGCGGGGCAAAATGTAATAAAATGACCAATTTTGAATGTGTTATAGCCCGAGCTAGGGTTTCTTGATAGAGCAGTCAGGACTAAAAATTTTAAATACATGTTATCATCGCATATGGTCTGATCGGCCTACTAGTTGACCAATGGTGCTCTTGACAATTGGGGTCAGATAAGTCGGTTCGGGTTGATCCAATAAATAACTTCTGCATGAAAAGTTTCTCATGTATGCAAAAAGTGATGCAATTTTTGCAAAATGTTCGCCAGTAGATGAAAAGTGCTTTTGCACTGAAGCAGACTATTAGATTCTCTCACTCTTTTTTGTCAAAATCCAGCAAGTATTCTGTCGTGCATGATTTGCAGATTTTGTGTGTTTTGTAGCAAGTAACGTAAATTCTGCAATGAATGTAAATCGCATAGCATTAGGGATGTATACAAATTATACAAACAGGATCCTATAGAGTTTGTAATAATGCATACGTCATTTTACTTTCATGGTCAAATCAGTTCATATTATGAAGTTCATAATAATTTGTTGTACTTAATTTGCACAAGCCGGCAGAAAGAATCAACTTGCTACAAACAATATCCCTATATTATTTTACGCTTTATCATTCTATGGGGCACCGCTTCGTGGAAACGGTGTCAATTACGCTAAGCGTAATGATTTAACGTAATGTCCATTGTTGCCAACATTGCTAAGGAAATTGTACCTTCATAACCGCATGAATATATTTCGTATATACCACACTTTTATAGATTAGTTTGTTATTCATTTTTATACAAAAACAAAATAAAATTTTACCGAATATATGTTATTATTTACTCTTCTTGGTACTGGATGACTAGGTATTAAGGTATTGATTAGTCATTTTTATTAGCATTTGAAGGTGCATGTTCAATGCACTGTACATAAAATAATAATTAGTAATATCTCCATTGTATGTGAAATTTGTTTCAGGAAGACAAGTCAGGTGACAACATGAAAATATAGTGCAGCACCACATCTAGTCTCTGCAAACGGCTTAATAACTGGAAATATCATTCCGGTTATTGGGATCCATTGTCATCCTCGTCGTTCTTCGTACCTTTAGATAAGCAAATTGGATTCTTCGATATGGTGGCATTTTCAGAGCAGCTGAAGTTGCTTCTTTGGAAAAATTGGATCCTGAGAAAACGCCACAAGGTGCAAGAATTACTTTTATAGCATGGCCAGCTGACCATTGCACCTTAATTAACTAATTCTGATTGTGCTGTGGTATGATTTTTTTTAGACGCGAGTATTTATGGAATTTGTATGGCCACTCATCCTCTTTCTCATTTTGATGTGGGTGCGAACACGAGGATTGAAACAAAATCGTCCGAATTGTATGCAAAATTGATCATACATCCATAATGCCATAATATTGCTTGCTAATTTTTTTTTTGCTGCAGGTCATCTTGTTGAAAAAGCGCTACCTTCAGTGGGAGGATTCGAGTTTTTTCAAAACTTTTTGTGTACATTGAATAATACGTGCCACAAAGACTACGTAGAAAATGATGGCAATTTAATTTGGGAAAATTCGATGTAAGTTTTGCTATAAATTGCTTAAATATAAATTGTGTAACACGATGACCCTTTACAATAATTAATGTTATATTTTGGTATTGCAGGTTCATGAAATTAATCAGTGATAGTACACCGTTGTTAAATGATATAGTATCGGCCCCAAAAGGAATCAATACGGTGGCTGCGATATGGACGGACATCACCGGCCTGATGCAAATAATTGGTGGATTTGCTTCAAAAGCTGAAACTCACAGAATTGGTAAAAATTAATTATTTTATATTTTGATGTGGTGATTACACAAAACAAAGTCGGGTTAAACTTTAATTATGTGGCTATATTTATGTAGGGACGGTCAAGCTTAAAGAATTAATGGGAAAGTATGGTCAGAAAGCATTTGTAGAGGTGGTTTCGACGTACACTTCACTTTCGTCTTCAGAGGCCACCAAACTCTTGGAATCTGATATTTTTCTGGATCATGTGGATTCTGTATGAATTATACATTTATTGTTATATATTAAAAAAATATTATTTTAACTAAAATTATATCTAATCTAACTGATAGTCATCTATGAACGAAATCGTCAATTACTTTAATGCGAAAAATTGCACTACTATACGGACCGATTTCGCCATTATAAAATTCGACAATGCTGAATTGGTTCGTGATATATGTCTCATGGATCAGCAGCAGAAACAGCTTCTGGCCTTTTTCTCCTTCAGATATTTAGATAACAACGGTCTCGTTGAGAAGGTATAAATCACATTGAATAAATTTATTGTTATTCGATAATATAAATGTATTAGGAATTCTTTATCGATTTTAGCTGAAAAGTAAAAGTGAGCTGGACAATTTTATAGAACAGGAGGACAAGGTGTCAAAACTGCTAGAGTATGACATAGGAATTCTGACCACTCTCATGAAATTAAATACGTAAGTTATTTCACGAAAATTGTCCAAACTAATTTGTCATTGTTTTTAAAAATTGTTGTTACTGTTTTAATCAATCTAGCGTACTGACAAATTTTGGAAGCCACTTCTCCAAATTCTCATCCTTGAACGGTACAAATTTAATCACAGCCCTTATGTTTGAAGGACTATGTGGAGTAGAAGTGAAAGGAAACAGGTCATCTTACGGCTTTGATCCTGGTTCTGCAAATAGGTATATATATATGTATATATTTATATGTGTGTATTTTTTGGTAACTACATATTTAGATCGCTTATCGTCGTTGAAGCTGCCAAGCATCTAAAGTTGTTAGAATAGAAGATGGCTCCTTGGCACCTTCAATAACGATATTTTTATTATTAAAAAAGGTACTGTTCAATATTATTAGGTTTGATAGTCTCCGTGATAGACTCAAAGACTGGAATCCTGATCATCACTATGAAATTGATCCAGAGATTTCTCCAATTTGTAATTCGATGTTCCAACGTTTGGAGTCAATGCCATTTACTGCTCTTTTATGGCGTCAGGTGAAACCATTTGTTAGGTATGTTCAAAGTGATCATGATTCTATTGAATTTAATTAAATTTGATGATTAATTGGCTGAATTTTTTGGCTCTGGTGTTAAAGGGGTGTGATCCATTATGCACCAATTACAAAATTTACTGAGAGTGTTATGCAGAAAGTCGATGAAAAATTTAGTCAACTGCAAGACATGGAAGTCGGAGTCAACTCTCTCGTTAGAGTATTGCATCGTGCGCGTCGGGGACTTCGAACATACTACGACCAAATAAATCAAACTCTGGTATTGCATAGTAAAACGTGTACTTTTTATCACTAAACTTAAAAATTTAATAAATTAATATGGGATTTTGGTTGCTTATAGATTGTTGTTAGCGATGAGAAAAACTTGAATATTGTACTAAGTCTATTAGGATTCAATCCACCAGAAACTGCTAAAGTACAGATAATCGAGACACTCAAGCAGATAATGTCATCAGATGTGGAAACTACGCTGGAGAAACTAGATTTTGTTCTTGAACTACTCTCAGAAGTTATCAGTGTAAGTTGTTGTCACGCGGTATATTTAGATGTTGACCTAAACATTATTAAACTTTGTGTCACTGTTCTGATTCGTTTAATTTAATAACAGTGTATCAAGTACAATAAGACAATTGGATTTGCGACTGAATTGGAAGCAGTAAATGAGGGAAGCAAACTCTTGTCAGCAGAGAAATTGTGGGCCGTTGTTATATTTGAAAATGTTGAGGATTCGGATGGAAATGAAACAGATGTCCAACACTTGAAATATAAAATAAGGTTAATTGAAGTCAAATCACTATTCATATTTGGAGTGAGTTTACATGCTCGTGATTAATTACCAAATGGTATTATAAAACGATAATGCAGGATGGATAGTGACAAAGTTGACGGCACTCGTATAGCTAGAGATAGGCTGACCAGCAAAACTCCACGACGTCGACCTGCTTTTGATCTAAAATATATTACTAACGGATTTATATATCTTCAAGAAATGATTGAGCACAGTGTCATTGAATTGCTATCGGGAAAAAGTTTGCCAACGTTCTCGACATACTTGCAACAATTCCCATATCCTTGCCATATTTATGATCAGTAAGATTTAAGGCTGCCTGGGACGCAGGCACAAAAATAATTTCTTAAAAATGATGTTTAGGGCTCATTTTTGGACAGAATGGAAAACGGATCGGTAATTCTGTGGAGAAACCCAGTCCCCACAGAATTACCGATCCGTTTTCCATTCTCTTCAAAAATGAGCCCTAAACATCATTTTTAAGAAATTCACTCTCCCAGGCACGGTTAACTTAAAAATACATCATTTACCAGATTTTGAACCATCTCAATATACTTTGTTGTACTTTCTAGATTTATCCGCGCAATTTCAAGAACCTTTCCTCTATTCATGGTTCTGTCCTGGGTCTACGCCTCCTCAATGATCGTAAAATCTGTCGTAATGGAGAAGGAACTAAGACTGCGGGAAGTAATGAAAGTAATGGGTCTTGGCAACGGAGTGATATGGTGTGGGTGGTTTATTGATAGCTTTGTGGTTATGTCTATCTCAGCAACTGTTTTGACAATTATTTTGAAAGTGAGTGACTCTACTGTAGATTAGTGCATTGGGAATAATGGGATTCATATTATCATGAAATTATAATGATTTTATATTTTTATTTATAGTTTGGGAAGGTCATTGAAAATTCAGACGTTACGCTGATTTGGGTTTTCATGATAAGTTACACCGTTGCGACAATAAGCTTCAGCTTTTTTATTTCCACCTTTTTTGCTCGAGCTAATTCTGCGGCCGCCGCAGGTATAACATATATGTGCAAATATGATGCGTATCTATAGCTAATTGTTCGAGGCATTAATTGATGATTTCATAGGTGGAATCTTATTTTTTGTGTCATACTTACCTTACAATATGCTATTGATCTGGGAGGAAAATCTGTCTTGGTACCATGTCTTGAGCAGCGTAAGTATATATTTTTGAATTGAGATCATAAATTAACATACTTAAGTAAAATCATATCAACTTTGCAGAATCTCATATCAAATGTTGCTTTCGGGTTTGGGTGCACATATTTATCCCGACTCGAAGAAGACGGGATTGGAGCTCAATGGGATCGGATAACTCTGCAAACTCTTCCAGGAGACGATTTCAATCTAAGCTACTGCATTTTAATGTTATGGGTTGATAGCTTCTTGTATTGTGCTCTGACGTGGTATATTGAAGCATTGTATCCCGGTTAGCTATTTATATATAACATACGGTATTTTATTTTAGCTTGGTTATCTAAATTAATGATTATGTACATAATGTTGCTTTGGATCAGGTGCGTCAGGTGTTCCCAAACCATGGAATTTCTTCCTGAAACGTTCGTATTGGAAAGGTCGGACCAAACCCAGAACAAATCCAACAAATCCAGTTATGTACCAAACGGTGCCAGGGTCCCAGAGTGTCACAGGTTAGACAATGAATGACGAGTCCTAACCTTAGTATTCGAATAATGATCATAACTGCTTCTGAATTTCAGATTACGATCAACCAATTATTGAACAAGAGCCAGAGGGCCTAACGACCGGGGTTTCGGTGAATCGGCTAGGTAATAATAATAATAATAATAATAGGATTTATTGCCTTCTTACGGCCAGTGGCCCATAAAGCACATGAATATGAATAGGTAAAACTTATTCTAATGGGAAAGTTGCTTTGGAGGACTTATCCATCAACTTTTATGAAAACCAAATAACATCGTACGATAATTTTATAATTTGACATATTCAAGATTTTGTTTAATCTAAAAAAAAGACTTTAGTAAATGTTATTTGATTTACAGATTTTTGGGTCATAATGGAGCGGGGGTAAATAAATATGACGAATGTTTTTTATTAGAAAGAAACTATTAAAGCGTGAATATGGAAAGCAATTTGTCAACTTTATAGAAAACGACAACGATCTCGATTCTGACGGGATTATTTCCGGCAAGCACTGGCACTGCAAGGATATATGGTCTAGATATTCACAAAGATATGGACTCCATTCGACATGGAACAGGTATTTTCATGACTAATTTGTAACTGGACATAATTTTGTTAACATTTACTGTCATCCTTAGGAATTTGTCCCCAGTACAACACCTTATTCGATAGATTGACAGTTTTGGAGCATATGCAATTTTACGCTGGCCTTAAGGGAAAGTGGGACGAATCATTTGAAGATGAATTTACCAAAATGATCACGTATGATGTCATAGAACCTTAACAAAGGATACGTATATTTCATATATATCTACCAAAATTTAAGTACTCTAATTAATTGATGTCAAAATCAAACTTTTTCAGCGATCTTGGAATTCCACATAAAAGAGATGAACTCCCCAAAAATTTGTCTGGTGGGATGAAACGTAAATTATCTGTGGCTTGCAGTTTTATTGGGGGTTCGAAACTCATCGTTCTTGAGTCAGTAAATCTTATTGCAATTACAATTTTATCATGTTGCAATTTTATCTTATTTCAATTTTATTGAAATTGCAGCGAACCTACAAGTGGCGTCGATCCTTTCAGCAGAAGGTCAATTTGGGAACTTTTGCTAAAATATAAGCAAGGACGCACGATAATTCTGACCACACAGTAATCTCATATATATTAAATTTATTTAGTGAAATGAGAAGATTGCCGCTCTCATCTAATTTGGTCTAAAGTTTTCTTTGCCTTTTTATTTTGCTAGTTTTATGGACGAGGCTGATATTTTGGGTGACCGGATCGCGATAATATCTCAAGGTTAGTTTTATTAACTATGCGTATGTTATACATACTGGATATTTAATATACGTACATATTGATGAGGGGACGTTCATAAACTTCATAACGCAAAGGGGGGTGGGTGGGTGGTCAGGGCCCAATGATATCGTGCCTATATGACACATGTTAAAGGGGGGTGGGTGGGTGTCCAAAATATCGAAAATTTGCGTTATGAAGTTTACGACCTGATGACCACAACCCGAGCCATATCAATTAATTATTATATTTCTAGGAAAATTGAAAGCCTGTGGAAGCAGTTTATTTCTAAAATCGAAATTTGGACTTGGATACTCCTTACGCTTGGTGCGACAAGACCCTGGGGTACAATTAGCTAACCAGATGCAGCACACTCCCTTGACTGTAGAAGAATCTGTGGATAAGAAGGCAGCATCCAGAGCACAGTCATTTCGACAGGGCGAGATCATGACTAGTTTTATTAAGCAGAGCGTTCAAAATGCAATTTTGATTGAAGACGTAGGCTCAGAATCAGTATTTCTACTGCCATATTCTTCTATTCAGGGATTTCCCAGTCTTTTTCAAAGAATCGATGACAATTTTCAATATCTTGGAATAACGGTACGATCTAAATATATAGGCCATATTAAACATATCGTCGATCTATATTGCCGTGCTATATTTTAGAGCTACGGTATGTCTGATACGACACTCGAAGACGTATTTTTGAAGATAACTATTCAAGATATAGAAGCAAGCCCCGAGTCATTCCATGCATTGGATGGAAAATGCAAACGAAGAGCAATGGAAATGATTAGAAAGTTTAGGGACCAAGTAAAACGAAAGAAGGACATGCCCTCCCTGCCAGAAAGTGTTGCTGACGGAGCTAGGCCACCTATTGTGACAATTGTTGTCGATCCAACGATGCCAACAATTGAGGCTTCGCATATACGTAGTAATGGATCCGTTGCTCCTTCTGTGTTATTATCTCAAGCGTCGTTGTCACAAGTGGATATCGATGGAAATCTTCTTGCATGCTCTGATGAAAATGGGACCAATTCAGCTAATAGTGCTAATACCTCTCTGCTCGAAGAAAATATGTTTGCGGATGAGTTTCCTGTGAAATCCAGTGACAAGAATTATTCACCGTGCTGTTTGGCGTGCATTCAAATTAGGACAATTTTCTTGAAGAGGCTATGGAATTCTAATCGAAATAGGAAAGCAATGTTTTTTGAGGTATTATTAATAATTATTTGATAATTCAAATTTATACAGTTCATGCAAACTATTTAACTATTTGTTCAAATACTTGTTAATTTTATGCATAATTTCTATTAAAACCCACAGATAGTCCTTCCGGCTGTTTTTATTGCAATTACCTTGGCGTTCACTTTAATTCTACCTCCTGCTACCGATGAGCCAGCCAGAGAACTAACGCCATGGACTTATCCAGGCCCAAATTTAATTTTCTTTTCCGACAAACAAAACAATGCTAAAGATGTTGACCAGTTGCTCTCCTTCATAAACGGCTTATTGGGCCCTCAGGGGATGGGGACTCCATGCGTAAAGGATGAACTATTTCGCGAAATTTGTGACCATAAATATTGGTCCAATACAACTAAGCTCAAAGTAGCTAAATTCAAAGATCAAAGGCTGAAATATATTGGACAAGCATTTGAACAGTGTTCTTGTGAAACCGGATCATTGCAGTGTCCAAGCAGTGTTATGGCAAATGACTTGCCAAGAATAGAGGTTTGTACCTATTGCCAACTGTAGAGAACTTTCAAAATTCATATTTTTCTCAGTAGCCAATATTACATAACATTAATATTTCTAAATATTCATGTTAGGCTCCTACGAAAGACATGATTTACGATGTCAGTCAAATCAACATCCCGGAGTGGATCGAAAAAACATACCGTAATTATGAAACCTCGAGGCATGGTGGATTCGAGTTGCAAGTCCGAGAGAAATTGGTGACTAGTGTCACTGGATTTTTGAGACTGATTGATCAACTAACAGATCTGCGTCCAAATCCACAAAGTATTTCATCCGATGAGGACGAAGATTTTTTTGCTGCTGCTGATGACAATAAGAAACGCAAGCCGCAAATCCCCACTTATAAGGTACGCCACGCTTGTATGATATCTAATCTATGAAGTAGGACTTATTCTCCCATTTAAATTAACTAATATATTGTCAATTCTAGGTGTGGTATGAAAATAGGGCATGGGTATCATCAGTCTCGTATCTCAATGCAATGCACAACATTATCTTGAGGGAATCTTTACCAGATAACGTCAGTATTGAAGAATATGGAATTACTGTGACCTCCCATCCTCTCCCACTTACAAAGTCACAAGCGAATAAAGAGTCACTGTATGCAATAATGTAGATTCTGTTTTTAATTGATATGTATAATTTAAAGAAACGTTTACAACAGGAAAACCGCTGGACTTGGAGTGATTCATGGTTAGTAGCGGACGTTTCACAAATTTGAAATGGCAAACTGATAAAAGTTCCTTAACTCACTTTTTTCATTATATTTATTACCAAACAGCCGTGTGCATTATTTTTGCACTCAGTTTTGTTCCTGCGTCATTTACAGTGTATTTGATTGAAGGTTAGGTTCATAATATCTCGACTCTATTATCTCTCTAGCAGACTGAATTATCCAGGTAACTAATATTTGTGTATTTCATTAGAACGCAAAAACGGAGCAAAACACTTGCATTTGGTTTCCGGTGTAAAACCAATAACTTACTGGATTTCTAATTTACTTTATGACTTGGTAAGACTATATTATTTATACATAACCAAGCTAATAATCCTTCCAAGTTATTTATGAATAAAATAATGAAATGAACTTTTACATTAGACAAAATATCTCGTACCGGCAATACTGTGCTTAATATTGTTTGTCATCTTCGATGCCAAGGCGTACATTGGGTCATCAAGCGTATTGTCCTTCATTTGTCTTTTACTGTTATATGGGTAATTAGTTTTTTTTATATTATCTCATAAAGCATATTATCTTACATGATCTTCTCATCTGTAAATGTATCTTATATGATACATTTTAAACATTATATTTCAGATGGGCGTCTATACCAGCCATGTATCCATTCAGTTTCTGGTTTAGTGTCCCTTCAACGGCTTTCGTAGTTTTAGGTATATGATGTTTATGGATAAGAATAAATTCGATTCTATTTTATTAAAGTTAGCTAATTTTGTGTTTTGCTTGTAGCCTGTATGAATCTATTCATCGGTGTAATGACGACAGTCAGGTGAAGCAGCATTTGTTGCTCCTTTTTCTCATTTCTTGTATGAAATAGGCATTTGATTTGATTTTATTTTATTCTTAACAGTACATTTGTTCTGGAGCAGTTTGGAGATGAAGTAAGAAAAATAATTTGAGTTGAATTTTAATAATTTTGTAAGTATGTATAAAAATTGCAAAAGCGTGATGGATATTAATTTGTAATTAGGAGCTCGAAAGGATCGGAGGAATTTTAAAACAAGTTTTCTTGGTATTTCCACATTACTGTCTTGGTAGGTTACCTTTATGTTCAATATGAAGCTCCAATACATAATGAAATAAACCAATATATACATTTAAATCACACTTCTTTTTACAAATAACTCTTATTAGGAAGAGGACTGATGGAGCTTGTTCGGCTAGATTTGGAATCGATCGCAATTTCGAAAATCGGACTTTCTTCAGGAACCCCAAAGGATAGATTCGAATGGGATTATCTTGGCAAAATGCTATTTTGTTTAACCATCCAAGGGTGTATATTCTTCTTGTTCAACATATGTTTCGAATATCGTCAACTATGTTACTTCTTGTTCAAAAAGAACCGTCCCCCAGTGGTTAGTTTATGGTTTCTCAAATTTGGAAGTATTTGTTTCTATTAATAATGACATACTATGCCATATTAGCCGGTTGATGAAAATGAGGATGAAGATGTCTTGAAAGAAAAGAATCGCGTTTTAAGTCAGCCAAATTTGGAATCAACATTGCGAGCTGAGAATTTGACAAAGGTAAATCAAGTCGTAGCGTAAACAACAATATTGTGACTGTGTCGTTATATATAGTTATTTTAAATATAGTACTATTCCGGAAAGAAGCATGCTGCTGTAAACGGCCTAACCTTTGCTATCGAAAAGGGCGAGTGTTTTGGACTTTTAGGGTCAGTAAGACAGATATTACCTGTACATGCGTATAATATGTACATAAACATCTCTTAATTGTTTGTTCACAGTAGTCTAATAATAATTAATTTATACAAAATAGGGTCAATGGAGCAGGAAAGTCAAGTAGTTTCAAGATGTTAACCGGAGATGTGAGGATAACTTCAGGACGAGCTAAAATATGTGACGCTGACGTCGAGACAAATTTAGATGCTGCAAGACGACATTTTGGTTATTGTCCACAAGAGGACGGGCTAGATAGGTATGTTGTTTGTGGATATTAGAATATATAAATACAAATTACAAGCGAGGTAATTTTGTCTGTTTTTGTTTGAACAAATACCAGCCTTTTAGATGCATATGAATTATTGACTATCTATGGATTGCTTCGAGGGATGACTAAATCTGAGACCAGTGTTGCAGTAAGCAGGCTCATTCGGACGCTGGGCTTGAGTAGCTGTGCTAAACGTCGGTGCGGGACATTTTCCGGCGGAAATAAACGCAAACTATCAACTGCAATCGTACGTTGTATACCAAATTGATCACATTTACATTCTAAAGTCTTGCAGAGTTTGTCCTAATTGTTACTTTATGACGATGTGGATATAGGCGCTGATTGGAGATCCAGATGTGCTATTTTTGGATGAGTAAGTTTCAGATAATAACGATATTCATCGGCAGTTTTACAATTTCTTTAATTGAAACAGACCTACTTCGGGAATGGACCCCTTGTCGCGAAGAAAATTTTGGAAAGTAATTTTAAGATTGGTGAAGAATGGCAAATCTGTCCTACTGACATCCCACTCAATGGAGGAGTGTGAAGCATTATGTACCAAAGTAGCAGTTATGGTCAACGGTCAATTTCAATGTCACGGAAGCCTACAACATCTTAAGAATAGGTACAGCCCAGATTTTTTGATTGAAAATCTTCTTGAGAGTTAAATTATTTGATTCCAGATTTGGGGACGGATATATGATCGATGTAAGATGTCCAAAGGATAAGCAGGAAGCATTATTGTTGAGGCTTGATGAATCCCTTAAGTCGGCTCGAGTGGAGGATCGTCATTTCTGCCAAATTAAATTTATTCTTCCCCAGCTCGAGTCGAAGCTAACTGTGTTGTTTAATGTGATGGAAGGTTTAAAGGAAGACGGTCTCATCGACAGTTACTCCGTCAGTCAAACTACACTTGATGATGTAAGTATTGTATTAACTGTATATTACATACTTATTATTATTTATCTTACATCTTACATACATATGTAAAACTTTCGTGCAATTATCCTACTATAGATTTTTGTAAAGTTCGCTTCTTTACAAAAGGATGATATGGACCGATGAGACTATATTGTGACACACATATAATTGACGGTGCTCTTGACGCGTAATACTGCATATGCAAGTATTCACTTCCACAAAAGAAAACAACTGTGATTTGTGTATTATACATTAATCGAAAATGAGAATCATATAAAAATGTACCTTTCATGTATTTACACTGAAATCAATCGTCATTCTAATACAAATATTCCTACACTACGTTGAGTCGATTTGAATTCTTATTAAAAACTGTTACCTATGCTACTCTGACACTGTGATGTAATGGTCTTTGTAATTACATCATTAATTTGCAATTCAGTTTATAGTTCCAATTTTAACTTTTAAATATTTAATATTTTAACTATTTCTAGTCTACATTAATTATTAGCTATGACATGTCAACGCAAATGACAAAAGAACGGTTGATCTGATATGAAAGTATTATTATTTCGGTAGAAATAAAACCACGTATGCAAAAAAAACTCTTTGTTCAATCACTTGTTTATGCTGGGCAAACCCATGAAATACATATCTACAAGCGTAGCTTCATCAGTGGGGCAAACCTCACCACTTACGGGCGCGAATACGTGTTTATGTTATGATCTGTCAGTGCCACTAACCCAGTTTGATTCCTACTTTGCTGTTGCTGTATGCTTCATAATAAAAAAACGAGTGATAACATACCCAACAAGTATTTGCAGGCCTTTCACCTCACCAATTGACTAACCCAAACCTGTTATCGTCAATTGCATCATAGCAGCAATTACTTACCACAACTTGAGATGAGAATCTCTTCAAGTTAACAATAAGTGAGAGTGGAGTTATTTTACACTCTTACTATTATCCACTATTTTACACAAAAGTTTCCAGTTTATTCGTTCTCGGATTCAGAAGCGACCATTCGTCATGTCCGCAGCGTATTTAGGAGACACGGACAGCGAAGACGAAGTCCCCAACGGGTGGGAGGAGAGGCTGACGGAAGACGGGAGGGTGTATTACGCAAAGTAAAGTTATTTAGACCATACTTGCAAAGTTAAAAAGGTTTGCATAAAATGAATGTTTTACTTCAATTTCAGTCATTCTACATCGCAAACTCAATGGATTCATCCAAAAACTGGTGCCCGGAAGTATGTCCCCAAAGGTAAAAAAGAGATAATGATTTAATATTGAATTGTGGAAAGATAACATTAAACATTGGAATATTGCGTCCATTGTAATATATCTATTAAATTGTGATCTCTTCGTAGAGTTGCCTTACGGATGGACTAAACAAGTCGACGAAGATGGGACGGTAATATTTTTCCAGGAATCAACTGGAAAGAAAACTCACACGGTAAGTTATAAAGTGCTTGATACTGATATAATGTATTACGTATAATTATTAATTATGTATATCTTCAGAATATTACATGTGTACATACGTATTTTATTTAGGACCCGAGATTAGCTTTTTCACGAGAAACAAAGCAATCTGTGTATGATTTTAAACAAAGATTCGATGCATCCTCCACTGCATTTCAAGTTTTAAATGGAGTAGATCTTACTGGGAAGAGAGGTGACGAAACATACATTCATAATAAATATTATTGCAAATTAAAAAAATGCCCTGCAAAGCATAGTAGTGACATCGATTTTTGATAAACTTAAAGAATGTGTAATATCTTACAGCACTTATAACTGGAGCTACATGTGGAATAGGTGATTGTCCAATTGAGTTACATATATGTACACATACTTTCCATAGATTGGGTAACAAATGTTAAATGTTCTGCTTTCCATCTAGGTTTGGAAACGGCAAAATCGTTGGCGAAACATGGTTGCGAAGTGATCTTGGCGTGTAGAAGTTCGAGTAGAGCTAATGAAGCAATTGAAGAAATAAAAGCCATAAAAGCAACAGCAATTGTTGAGTTTGTAAAATTAGATTTAGAGTCGTTAACAAGCGTTAAGACCTGTGCCAATGAAGTCCTCATCAAGTTTAGGCAAGTACAAATGAAAACTTTATGCTTCATATACATATTTCTATACATTGAATGCGTATGCACTGCTCCAGTAAGATTATTAACGTTAATGTACATTTATTTATTAGAACTTTGGACTACTTAATTTGTAACGCTGGAGTATTTGGAGCTCCATTTAAATTGACGGAAGATAACTATGAAAGAACATTTCAAGTCAACGTCTTGTCACATTTTTATTTAATTCTGCTATGCAAACCGCTGCTAATTTCAACAAAAGGTTCAAGAATTATTATTTTGAGTTCAGAATCGCACAGGTATGAAAATCATATTTTACCATTAACACGTATCACTTTCTCATTAACATGTCCATTAATCTCGTATTCTCTTGCACAGATCGTCTTTGATGACACCTGAAAATATTTGTGAAGAATATCTTTCTCCTCGTGTGGCATCAAATTTCGTGGCATTCTTGGCATATGGAGATACAAAGTTGTGTGACGCAATTCTTGCAACTGAGATTGACAGGCGATGGGGTCACGAGGGAATTATATGTAATTCTGTACATCCTGGAAACATGATAAGCACCGAAATTAGTAGAAATTGGTGGTTTTATCGACTTTTGTTTTTCATCGTCCGTCCATTCACAAAATCATTGGTACAAACTTATTAACTTTTAGCAAAAGCAAAATATGCTTAATTAAGTGTATTATATTGCTGTCGTTTTTATTGTTTCTAGCAACAAGGGGCAGCCACAACCGTTTGGGGTGCAACGGCTGAAGAACTAAACGATGTTAGCGGACAATATCTCAACAATTGTTGGCTATGTGCGCCTACAGAAAAAGTGACTAATCGAGACATGGGAGAATCCTTGTGGTCAATGTCGATTGCAATGATTGAACGAGTCATGGGAGTCCTTCCTGCAAATAATAAGTAAAAATACACATTTTATAGGTTATTTATGAGAATAAACTTGATTTTCTTCTATTACATATAATGTATAATTGAATTCATTTGTTCCATCCATCATGCACATTTTCCGTATAACACGTGCTCAAATAAAATCGATCATGTATTGGTGGATTGCCTTAATCGACCTTTCATTGATTTCATGCACACCTCGACCACTCGTCTCAACTTGGTAGACCCCCACCGAACAACACGGTTCCAATATAATGTTATCATGTCACTACTATCATTACTGTATTACATATAAATAAACCATATCGAGTTGAGCGAATAGCTCAGTTCAGTGGAATCCTATCATAGTTACACATGTTTAAAATTCAATAGGTTGTCTTCTTGAGCTTGTGTCAATTAATGCATATTAATGATGTCAAACAAAGTGTGCAAAGAAAGAGGTCCAATCTCATCTCGTAAAAGAGGTTGGTGGCGAGATGGAGAGTGATACCCGTTTGTTTCATGCTTTCACTTCACCCTCCACCACCAGCACCGAGTCAATAAGTGAAAAGAGCGTAGTAGTAGTCTCACTTCTATGCATATTTCGCCTCTCTCTCTCCCATCTCATTTATTCGAGGTGGAAATTTTACGGGTTTTGTGAGATGTACTTCCAGTCGAGTGGGGGTTTGAAGCAGCAGCAGCAACGGCGGCATGAAATTCATCTGCAATCTGCTTTATACTCCTTACACTTGATTTCATATTATCATCCTCTTTTCTCTCCCAGCTCGACATAGCTCATCATCATCAACGAATCAACATCATCGTCGATGCTAGATCGACGACGATGATAGAGGATCCTTTCAGACAGTTATTTCATAAATTCTCACAGTTCTTTGGTAATGAGCTCGCCCAATTCACATTCACTTTGCATGTTTCCACACTTTTCATCATCATCATCATCACGGGGGGAGGGGGCGAAAAAGAAACCTTAAGTGAACGCTTATGTTTGTACTGTCCACAGCAACAGGGATTATAATATACACACGAATATGTATATCCAAATCGTTTGAGTTACTGCTACAAAAACACAAATTCATCTTTCACTCTTAATCTCTTGAGGATTTCTCTCCTCGCGTAACGCTCTTTTGAAGATTTTCAATCGATCTCATGTCCATCAATAACTTTCTTTTTCTACTCCCTGACTGGTTTGGCTGGTCGTTACAAGTCAAGAAGTTGCTTGTGGGAAATGGTCCTGTTTTTATTGAGTCTCTTGTATTTTATCCTTGGTGTATCCTTGGCTTATCGACTCAAACCCGATTTATGCATAGTGAAATTTTTCATTTGCAGATTATAAATTTCTTACATATAATGTAAATACAAAAATTATAAAGAATTCTAAGCACTTCTGTTTTCGAATTTTTGAACTACAGCTTGAATTTGATGGTATGTACAAGATTTAAAAAAAATTTCAGCTAAATTCCGCCACAACCTCAAATTCGGGCATTAAAAAAATCAATCACTGGGTCTGCTTATTTTTTGTTTCCAGCAAAACAAAACTGATCCCACCCAAATCGAGTTATACACATGAAACGTAAATACTTATGTATATACTTACGAGTATATGTAAGTATGTAGGAGTCAAACTTTGTAAGTGCAGTAAGCTGTTTTTCAACTCCGTATAAAGCGACCTTTCGGGTATTTGCAAAAATGCCAATGTTTTTCTTGAAGAAATGGTCTCTGTACATTCGAAGAATATTATTCTGATTGTGCATTCCAGACAAATGCCGTGAGCTGTTGTGTTCGACCGACGTACATTATTTGGGGTCGAGCATATCCTTACGGGAAAGGCGAAGGTAATGAATATGAAGTAAGCAAAGTTCGGTTTAGAATTTGGATTCTTTCTTTAGTTGCGTTGCGAGGTGGATGGGAGACAAAGGAAAAGTTCAATTGGGGCAATCAGGAGTTTTTCCCTTTTCATTTCCTCCAAAAAACTCTTCAACATCCAACGTCATCCTCCGCTGCATGTGGAAACAGTGTGTGGAGTTGGCATGCTCCTTGCACCGCTTTCACTTATCCCAGTCCGTCAGCTCGGTGGGGGTAGGGTAGTTGGCAATGTGGAAAAAGTAGGTAAGTTTTTGGGGCTAATAAGACATGTCTCTCCTTTTGTTACACACCCTTCCCTCAAGTTTCCTCTCCACGATGCTCGTATACTTAACGTGGAAGAAAGTGGTCCGTGTTTGTTCAGTTACTTTACTGCTATTACCTACAAAACCGTTTACACTAAGTTGTGGGTGTCATAGGGGTTCGGTTCGTTCCTAGGTTGGTTTATCTATAATGACAATGACTACTTTTTATTCCTGGTTTAGTCATCCATGAAAAACTTCTCTATTGGCTTCATGTTTTCTACCCAGGCGAACACATTCATCTGTACAGCAGACAAACTTTTCCAATGTGGTTCTACTATTAACAAGCAAATGGGAACGCATTACAGTGGCTACGAAAAAGGGAAAGAAAGAAATACAACCTTTCTCTCTTGCAAATTTTGTACGTTCTTTCCGATTACATACGTAGAGCTATATGTATGAATGAATTTGCAGGACATATGTATGTAACTATCATCCGACGCATGCAGTACGTTAGGTCCGATAGTGGTCAAGAAGTCCTATTTTCATGATGCCATATACAATTGACATTTGCATTATGCGGTCAGTTTTCACGACAGTTTCGAGCGGATTTCTTTTTTGGTCCAAAATACATATGCATCTGATCATGAGATGTGATAACTCGGAAGTGGTCAAAAAGTTTGTTTGTTGTCGTGATTGTGGTGCAGATCAATTTATGTAAACACTGCACCGCCATCCGTCCGTCTGTGCATTTAGTATTCAGCAGCAGCAAAACAATTTTATATGCTTATCCTTATTGAAGTTATTTGTATGCGATGTGCGACAAATGCCGGTTTTTAGGACACAAAATGATAGAAGACTGCTTTTGTTTTGTATTGTTCGAATCATCCGTTTCAAAGCAGGATACGAAAAGGAGAAAACAAGGAAGGCATAAAGTGTTGCCGACTGAATGTTCGATGGGATAGATGGATGTGAATGAGGAGGAAGGGTGACGATGAGAAAGTGGATGCGGATGAATTTGTAACAAAGTGGATTTGGGTGCATTTGTGGGGTAGACAACACACATCTCATGTTACATTCGCTACAATGGACGAGCGACCTCGATACGATACGGGTGTTCATACAGCAAGTGGCATACGAATATGCAGAAGAAGAGCCCCTTTGCAACGGCATTGAAGGGAAAGCGAGAAAAATATGTAGAGAGTGTAATTTAATGGGGAGAAAAACCAGAGTTGAAGGAGAAAGTGAGATTGCTGGCATGAAATGTGCCAGAGATAAGCCGCATGTAAATTCCAGTTTTGATGCATGGTCACTCACTCTCTGTTCCTTGGAGCAACAGAAGAAAATATCATTTCTTCGTCTTCCTCCTCGCCGGCTCGAATTCATCTACTCACGAACAACAATACACTTTACTTGGCACCAGAAATGGAAATATTATAGAAATCGTAATCATAATCAGAGGGGGCTTATATTCCCCCCAATGTATGACTGTTATATGTAGTGGTCTATGCACGTATGTATGCGTGTAGTTGAAATGTTTTGTGCCAATTTGTTGACTTTGTTGTACTCCCTTATCCTTAGACATACATAAATGCAAAATTTTCTTTCCATGTCACACTCGAAAATTAAAACGTGGTCTTGCTTTATATTTTTTATGTGTCTCTCTTGTGGTTTTCTCTAAACTTTACAGAGTTCCAACCATTATGACATATACAGAAGCTCAGTAAGAAAAGTCAAGCGGATCTCCAAATTGCCCGAAACAATCTCTTCATCGGCTTTATTTCTTAAATCCCTAAACTTGTGATATGAATGTGGCACTGATTTGCATTTATGCTTCAAAGAGATACATACACACAGTGAGGCCCATTTGTTCCACCACTAACATTCAGCGTGGTGGCTGGGCTGCTTGGGAAGTGTGGGGAAAGCGTATTTCCAATAGAGTTATAACATTGGCAACCTCGTGAACGTGGATTAAAGTCAAAAAGATAATAAAAAGTGCTTTAGTAAAATGAAGAAACCAAGAAAGTGAATAAAGCAAGCGCCTTCTATCTATTCCAATCCAGCAGAAAGGAGTTTGTTCACGGTGACAGGGAGAGAATCGCTGGTGAAAGCAGCCAACCCCATCAGCCAGCAATATTAATGACGCTCCGCTGGACCGCTGCTCCATGTATGAACGTGGTGGTGTTGGGGATATGTATGTATGTGTACTTATCCTTAGTGTGTCATACCCTATGGGAATAGGAATGACTTTGAACTTCAGTCCCAATGAAGGGAATGATGGATGAATTCGCCAATGAACAAGGAGAACTGACCATCCCGTTGTCAACTTTAATTTATTTTACGTGCGGAAACAATTTGAAAGTTTTTTTTTCTTCAAAATGAAACAGGATTGACACGGACAACATTAGGGCTACAAATTTAATTCGTAAACTTGGACCGTCGTCGTCGTCATTGGATTCTATTGAAATGAGTGACGAGGACCACTACAGTCAGATACATACAACAAACAATTTATTATGTGGGGTGGCTGTGGTGGGAGAAGGTGCGAAGTTCATAGTGAACTAATCACGGTCAATCATGTTGAGCAATTTGAGGAACATGAGAAAAGTCGAAGGGGAGAGAGCTCTGAGCGAGTGAAATCGTTGTACGACTCTTATCAAATCCACCCTGTCGTCCTTCACGTCCCATCCGTTTCCTTACAAATGGGTTGGATAGCCGACGACCCAGCGTAAAGTAGAGTGAGTCTCGTCCTCGTATGACCAACAAATATATTCCTCCCCGGCTTTACAGATAGTTACTCTCTCTCTATCATTCTCTCCTTGTCGATGATGGTTAAAATTCCCCAGAAGGACTTTCACAAAGTTGTGTCCTTTTTTGCTCATACCGATCTATGGGTGAATCCAGTAGGTTTCCTGGCTTTATCTATATCAGTAAATGCATGATGTATAAAAAAGAAGGATGACCATGAT